AAAACAAAAACAAAATTGCCCCTACCCTTTCTACCCAAACCCAACAAAACATATCAAAAAAAAAAAAAAAAAACAATTATATTTTTATTTTAACAAAAAATTCAATTCTCTCAATGATCGTAGGGCACAATTTGAATAGATACACATTGAATTATATTTGTTGACCATACATTCATTTTGATAGTATATATGTTTTGATAATATTTAATATGTATTTGTCTTATAATAAAGTTGAATAAAAATTAGTCAATGAAAAAAAATTATTAGAGTTTAAGCTAAAAAATTTAACTACCCCCATCAAAAATTCCTATAGTTCCACCCTCTCAATCGTACCGAAAGAAGTAACCTTAATTACCTCAGATAGAGTGCCCTCAATCCCCTTAAATTGATTCCATTTTGTTCATTTCACCTGGGGTGGAGCCCTGGATATATGATCAATATATAGCACGGATTGGCATCTTGAGAAAAAGGAAAATATATATATATAACGGCAGAGATATAGAAGAAGGCTATTCTGTTTAGGCAATGAAGATTCAAGGGACACACAACAAGCCAAGCTTTCTCTTCTCTTCTACTCTAAAAAACAAAAAAAAAAAAAAAAGAAAACTTTTCTCCTTGTGTTGCTCTTATTTTATTGGCTGCAATCAAGTGTGTTTTCGATATTAGATCCACGCATATTTCCCGAAGTGTTAAGTTGTTGACAGGAAAACACCCTGCAAGAGGCTTCTTCACCGTCCTGTCAAAATAGAAAATACCACCTCATTCATATCATACCTTCTTCTTTTTTCTTTTTTTTATATAGCAAAACTCCTAAGGTACCTAGTTGAGCCTCACGCCCCACAACCCACCACAAGAAATGTCAGTATGTTATGTACGAAATAGCTTCAAATTTATCTTACCCTCCTTTTTACTAATATCTTCTATATTACTGCTATGGCCAGAAAAATAGAAAGATATATATATATATATATATATATAAAAGAATCTACTCTGTGGCCCATATATATAATTAGGTCATCTGAGTATTTATATGAAAAATTAGGAGTTATCACGTATCTTATGATTGTTATTTGACTATGTTATCTTTCCGTAGATAAGATTATTTGAGAAAGAATCATATGAAATATATTTGCGTGTTTTCTGAACATCTTGTAACTCTAGAAACTCAATAAAACTGCCGTTAATTAAAGAAAACATGTTTTCTGAAAAATCCTTCTTTGATTAATTATGATATGATTTAAGAAGTTCCAATGTAGACAAGTACAAGGAAGACACTGTTGATATCCTGCAAAGTTTAAAAAAAATTATTTCAGTGAGATGTGAAATCAACAGTGCAAGTAAATAATAAATGTGTACCGGTTCTGCAGGCCCGTTGTGCACACATGCAAGTATGAAATGAAAGACCTAGAATATTAATAATATATACATATAAATATTCAGCAAAGAAAACACACCAAAGAAAAAAGAGAAGGAGAGAAGCATCTGCAATGTATGAAGCAGTAAATAGGAGAGGTGGAATTTTAGGGCAAAACAATTGGAGCAGTTCGTTTTTGTTACTTCTTATTCTTTTCCTTTTCCTTTTCCATCCTTCCTTCCTTACAAAGTTACAACAAACAAAGTGAACACGCAAAGCCTTAAATGTGGAATATATTGCTTTTACAAGCAGCTCGTGCTTCTGCTTCTGCTTCTGCTTCTGATGCTGCTGCTGGTGGACATGGTAGCTAGCTAGCTAGCTTAACCCTGATCTTCGCTCAACGCTGACACTTGTGTGTTTCCTTGTTTGTCTCTCTTTGTTGGATTCGATGGGTCTTCAGCATCATCATGCCCCATGTGGATGGGGCTGCATGCCTTCCTTTTCATTTCATTATTATTCACTATGCCAATACCATAATTTTTAATATAATAATGCGAAAAGAGATACTGAACAAGTAATTAACAAAATGAAATAGCATCGATCCTAGTTTTGAAGTTTAGTTGGTAGTGTTTTCTTATCGGGTTTATGTACATTGTCAAACAGTGCTTATATAATGAGGTAAAAATCAACATGATCAATGGTTCGATTCAAAGTCTAATAACATAATTATCTTAACTTTAAAAATGACTTGCCTATCACACTAGTAAAAGGGAAGGGGTTATCTGAGATCACTCATCTGCAAGTTAATGCTCTTTTTTATTAGACTAGACTCCGTTAACTTAAATTCTAACATAGTGAATCTAAATCATATACACATTTATTTATGTGAAAAAATCAAACATGATTTGATGATCCAAATTCTATAACATAATCTTATTATTATATTGTGAAACAGTGAGAGATTATACTTCTCTAAGTTCAGAAAAATAATTGAAGAGAGAAGTATCTGAAGTCAGATAAAGGGAAAACACAAAGTTTGTAGAAGCAAAAGGAGTAAGAGCCCCACATAGCAAAAAAGCTCTGTTCAATTCTTCCCTATAGGTGATGCAATCAATTGCTCAAATTCCTTGCTGGAGCCTGGAAGCCCATATATATATATATATATATATATATATATTTGGTGTCAGCAGTATTTCAATGGGTACTACTGGGCTCACAGAATCAGAAATGATCAATGATTTACACAAGCAATCCTTTCAACTCTTTCTGTCCCAGCTGTGTGGCCCCTACATCCCCCCTCGCACGTGCGGAAATATAGTTTTATTTGGCTTTTGCTGATGATTAATTAAGCAGCTGCTAGCATAAAATGAACGTCATTAGATTCGATGGAGCATCAGAATCTGCGCATGCAACAGTTCTCTTCTGTTCAATTGTGTTAAAAATTATAACTCAGAAATGACAAGCTACCAAAAGTCCATAGTAAAGGATCTTACAAAACACTCTTATAACTTAGTCCGTTGATAGGTACCTACTTTTGTTTTACTAGACAGTTTGACAACATAACCATGTGCTTATTCTAAATTATCGTCCGAATTTGTTGATAGAGATTATTATCTTACTCAACAGTCTTACATGTGATGTTATTAGACTATTAATTTAAAATTCCGAACCAAGATTTAATATACTTAAATAATGGTTCACATACAAGAGAAAGAGAAAGTTTCTATTGCTTCACATTATTCACTTTGCGTCATGCATGCATACATTTCAGCATGATATGCCAGCGGAGGTGAAAAGGCATCTAGGTTAGAAACAAATCACTAGCAAACAATAGTATTTATAACATGCAGGCCAAAGATAGAAACACTTGCTCGCTATCCCTGTATGCACTCTCTAGCTCTATGTGGAAATCAATTAGAGGTTCTGATGAAGATCCTTTGTCTGCTCGCACAAGACAAGAGATATTTCATAATTGCTGCTCTCTTTTTTTCTTTTCCTCTCCAATGTTCATTCCCAGATATATGTAGAAAGCATCGCAATACAACACTTCATCCACATTTCTCTTTTTTCTTTTTCTTTTTTGGTTGAGGAAATACCCATCCACAATTCTCTTGCCTTTCCACTGTCTTCTGATAGTCACTAACAATAATGTATAATATATATTAAATTTGAAAGGCATCTTAATACAAGTACAATTTTCTTTTAATTTTATGCCTTTCCCAGGATGATTAATGAGTATATAGCATAAAATCATGCTCCAACCTGCAGAGGAATCTTCCGTCTTAGCACTTTTGTGCAGAGTCCCAAACAGTCATAAACAAAGTTGTGACAGCAACAAAAAAGAACATCAAGGGTTCAAAATTGTAAAGAAGAAAGAAAAAAGAAAGAAAGGAAAAGGCATAACAGCAGAAACAAACTATGGATCATCAACTATATACACAGAGGTCTCCTCTCTCTCTCTCTCTCTCTCTCTCTCTTTATTTTCTTTTTGTTTCTCTTGATGAACAATCATCATTGATATTCTTCTGCCTAGTTTTCAAATGCCATAGGCTTTTGTCCAATCTATATATAATTGTACAAGTAGCTTTCCATTCTCCTGTACATATGACCCAATATTGCAAATGACTGAATTATTTTATTCAGTTTAGTATGTAAGAAATGGACCCTGGAATAAACACCTAATTGGGCCTAACCCAGAGTACAGCCCTCGGGCTCCCTCTTCTTACAAAAGCCCAACCTCCCTATTTTTCTTCCTTTTTTTTTGGTTACAAGCACTACTGTGAGAGAGGAGAATCGAACTTAGGACCTCTAATACAGGGGTAAATACTCTTAATCACTTAAGATACAAGCCCCTTGCAAAGCCGATCTCTCTTTATAGCATCTTGCTTCAAAGATGCCTACCCCAAAAAGAGAGGCTAGGGCCTGACTGAAATGTCCAGTATGTCTTTTGAGTATCAATGGTTTGCCTCAACTCAGTGAATTCAGGCTCCAATGCACTTTGACCCACCAATGGCATTTTCAGCCAAATTAGTGAAATTACCAAAAGAGAATAATCCACAATTAGTTTCACTCCAGTTGTTCTATCCTTAACTCACAACCTATTTTATGAGAACTTGTCAAAGTCTTATTAAAAACATGTCAAATGCCAAGCTGCCTGCTAGCTAGGCTTTGCTTCTGTGGGGATTTAAAAATTAAAATAAAAAAACTAGGCTGAAGAGGATTGCACCAAGAATGGGTGTGCATGGCGTTGACAATCCTCCCCCGCCAAATAAATCAAATTTGTAGTGTACTGTAAGCAAAAATGTCTACAGATAAAATGACAAAGTAACACAAAACGACAGCTGAATTGCACTAGACTACAATATAGTTGTCCATCCATATTCCAAAGGACAATATCACCAACAACATCTGCGCGGCCACCACTATGGTCAACAAAATAGAAGCTTCTTAACATATAGTGGCTAACTCATTTATCTAGGAATTGTTCGATACCTGTGGATATCGTATCTGGCAACCTGAGGCCTCCAGATTCTCTAACTGGATGTGAATTTGAACAATCCGCTTTTTCGAGAAAGAGGCCGTGACACAGGTATCGTTTATGATCTTTTTTCCTAAGATTGAAATGGATTGACAGCCTTTAGATGCTTCATAGCCACTTTTTTCTCCAACTGGCAGCTCTTTTGTCACCAGATAAGAGTCTGGGAAGGCTTAACAGACTATTAACCCTGGTAACACCTTCCAAGGCTGACCAGTCCTCATCCTCTGTAGTTGAAATACATTCTGCTAAGCTTCTTTTAGACTGGCCCTCAAACTTTGTAGGAAGCTTTTGTTCTGTTGACTCAAATATGGGCACAATTTCATTAGAGCTTCGTACAGTACCTGAATGCTCAAGAAGAACGGCATGAGAATCACTGATTTCTAAATCTTCAGTCTTCTCATCTGTTATTGCCATCCTCTCCATTGCCTCTCCATTAATCTTTGACACGTCATTTTCTGTCACAGCCTCAGCAGCAACAGACAACTGTTCTAGAAAGAGGCACACAACAGCACAATCATCATTCTTGGAAGTAGGGTATTTGAGCCTCCAGGCTCTAACGGCACAGTCCACAAGAGCCCTGGCTGCTGTGGTGTGACCTGGGGCAGAAGCTACAATTTCAATAGCCTCCTTATTTGAAAGGACATCCCAGACCTGTACAATGTGCAATTTATTTATCTCCTTTATTTAGGGGCAAGAAATCACAAAATATAGAAAGGAAAGAAGAAAATACCCCATCAGTGGCCAGAATAATGAACTCATCTCTTTCTGTAAGTTGGCGATAGTAAACATCAGGGACAGAAATCAAACCAAAATCCTTTAGACAGAAATCCCCAAAGGCTCTAGCCATTGCCAAACCAGGAGAATCATTGTTAGGCAACCATACACGAGCAACTTCTGGTTCATCCTGCAAAGCAAATACCCTTCCCTTGCATTGATGGATCCTAGCAGATTCCGCTAATTACAGAAGATTCAATAAATTTTGATCAATGGACCTTTATTTAAGACTTCTGTGTGACTCTGCTGAGAGAGAGAGAGAGAGAGAGAGAGAGAGAGAGAGAGAGAGAGAGAAATACCAGGAAGATCAGGCTTCAAGTCTACTGTCAATTGTACAGCAATCAAAGAGTTGTCTTTGTCTCTTGTTGCCAGCACAGCTCTCGAATCCCCAACATTTCCAAGTACAAGATTCTGACCCTGAAAAACCATACATCTACAAGTTAGTTTTTTCAAAATTCCCATGAAATTTCATCATCTTTGGCAAGTCTAGTTTAGCCTTCAACTTAGACCACTTCTAATCACTCCAACAAATGCCATTATGATAAAGAATGTCCATCTTAAAAATAATAATTACGAAGAAAAGAAGAATAGAACAGGGATGACTTACTTTAAACTTCTCGGTGTCATAGACTCATAATAATGATTAAAAAAAACTAAAATCACTTACCCAATTATCAGATTTCTTATTATCATATTAGATAAAATTTGATTAGGAAGAAAGAAAAATACGAAATTTTGTATAGAACTCTATAACCTCGAAGTTTGCAGAATCCTTTGACTACAGAGTGAGTACTTATATGAAAGATATAAAATACAAAACATCTTCAAACTAAGTTCCAACATATCTTACCATTTTATTTGACCGTATTTTTCCATTTTATTTGAGGTTACGCTTGATGACAAAAAGCATCAGCATTTAATCTTCTTGAAACTTAATTTTTCGCATATTTATTTCCTTTCAGGAGGGGGTGTCTTTAAGTTATACACAGCATATACTTATAAGAATTACGTTCTCCATTGCATCAACAGTATTTTCCCAAATTCTAAGTTTCTTTACTATCATATATGCATGTATATATGTATGCATGTAAGCACACAAAGAGAAAGACACATACATAACACACACGTGTAGAGGTATATGACAGGAAACCATTGAGGATGTTTCGCGAATGTTTACCTGTTTTACCAGTGTAACAGCAGTCGTGCCACTGCAGAGGCAATCAATTGTTGGATGCAATTTTAATTCCTTATCCATTAACCTGAAAGCCTTTAAGAATGACCTTTTTAGTGGTAGATACATGTCAGGTAGTTTTTCATTTTCCTGAACCTCCAATGGCTCACACCATTCATCATCGATGCTTGGAGATGCAGTTTCTTCAATATTAGAGTTTCCATTTGCATATTCAGTCGTACCGAGATTGCTCAGCTCACTGTTTGAATTAGCTTTCCACTGAGTACGTAGTATAAGAGGAAGAGAATCTCGAACTTTCTTGGCAACCATATGACCAAATGGACCGTGGCCATCAAATACCCCACAAAATATTGTATCATTTCTTGTACTGAAATTCTGTAGCACAAACATAGTAACCAAATCAGTATGAACTTATTCAAACTAATGACAAGAGAAATAGAAAATATGTCATATGAAGGAACAACCTTTCAAAATTCTTGCAATTTGACTATACTAATTCATTGACGTAGGGAATTCAATATTATGGAGACAAACATCATCATTCTGTAAACATAACAAATTCCAAGGCTTGAATAAAATTAAAATTAGTAGTACTATATCGATTCAGGTATAGTACTTGGCCTGAATATGTTCTGCAAGTGCCCCCTTTTTTTCTTTTGATTCAAATCTCCCAACCCTTGAAATGTCAGTTAGCCATACCCTAACCAAAACACACAGGGATGGCCGGATGAAGAAGGGGCCTTGCAGCACAAAAAGTAATACCAGACTAACTAGAAAATTGTAAATCTGCAACAAAGTGCAGTGTGCCAACATGCAGGGCATTTGTACCGTGATTCCTCACAAGGATCATTCTAAAATCATACTAAGGTACTGAATTAGCCATCTATGATCTGAAGTGTGAACATGGGTAGATAGATAACTAAAAACAAAACAAAAAAATCTAAAAATAGACTTATGTAGCTCACAATTCAAGTCAACCTGGATAAAATAGCACCAATGAAAGGAAACCTAGCAACAGTGCAATTGAAGCAACAACATTATCCATATTTATCTATCCCCATTTCCATTAAAACCCTCTACTATACAAATCATCCTGTCCAAAACCAAATACATTTGCCAAATGGGTTTTTCCAAGTAAGCTGCAAAAACATGCATTTTGTCCCCACAAGACAATTCACAAGTACAGAAACAGTAAGGATTGCTGAAATGGGGTTTTGATAAGCAATCAAAGTTAGAAACTTTCAGTATGAGTAGGTGAAGACAAACCTCCCAGACAAGCATGGCGTCTTGATTGGTCCCTTTCTTGCCTTGCTGAGTATACAAGCACGCAACTTTGCTACCTCCATTGGCGATCAATCTACCCGGAGTATCAATCTCATGAACCAAATCTTTACAACCAACTTGGTCACCTCCTGTCTTCTTTTTCTTCCACCTTTTGGAGCTATTCTTGGTCTTTGGAGAAGCATCATCAGCCGAGTCTACTGTGCTCAGCTCCACCGTATCAATCCTCTTTCCCATGCCTTTGGACGTAGAACAACAAGAACCCATTTGATATTCGATACTATTTCGATACTTTACCAAAATCCCAACTTGCCAAATCGGATCCACAGATTCTTATGATGTGGGATTTGTTTGTCTCGCAGATTCAATTCAAACAAGTATAAGACCACTGTAGGGAGATGAGTATTTGAGTAGGTACAAAACTTTGGCACAGAGTCACAGACCCAGACTAGTCAATAACCCACACAAATAAAAATAAAAATAATTTTAATAATTATAATTAAAATGAAAAAAGCTTCATGACATTGTACACGGTGACCTATTTTGCAAGAATTTGTTGACCTTCTTCAACCTTCATTCACCTTCTTTCTCTTCTTATTCAAAATGGGTTCTTTTTCATTTCTTTAATTTCCACCTTTGGAAAGATCAAAGTTAAGTAAATAAATAAATACCATAAAATAAAGTTGTGCATAAATATTCATCTACTACCACCTCTGGTCCATTGCATAACATTTAATAATCGGTTGCATCATGTGACAAGCACGAGAAAGACACTATTAATTGCTATTACCCCACTGCCTCAAATTTAAAATTAGAAGAAAAAATCAGATATTTTTTAAATTTATAAAGTGAATAATTTAGGGTTTTAGTTTTGGATCCAACATTGACATCGTCAAGTCCGTCCACAACCGAAAGAGTTAACTCTCTTCTTTCATGGACTGTCTAATCTGTTGGCGCAGTGAGGGAAATATGACACACTTATTGTTTCCTTAACATGGTTTTGTTTTGTGCTTTCCTTGGTGTTATTTGCTAAGAACAAGTAAATGGTTTTGATTTGAATATGAAAGCTTTCGTGCCTTTGTTTCTCCGAGCTGGCATATTCTATATAAATCTTGGGTTGAAGCTCTATCAAACAAGCACCAGGCACACCACATAGAATGCCATATGATACTCCAATTACAGTTGGATCGATAATTTTTCATGTTTTCTCTCAGTTCTAACGATGTTTCAAAGATGAGGTACAAACCCATTACAACTTTTGAATATGTCTCCTCCTTCCCCCCCAGTAGAACACTTGTAGCCTTAAAATAGTGGTTTTGGTTGCATCTAATCTAATATAAGGTGGTGTTTGATTGTTGGAATGGAATGAGAATGTTATCAATTCCATTTGGTTGGTTGAAATTGAGAATTAGTTGAAGAATCAATGCTTAATTCCATTTCATTGTTGGGTAAACCATCATGATAGGATCAAATATCCAAGAATTCAGATTCTAGGATGGTGGGTGTTGGGTGTGTAAGTTGGCGTTCGAGTCTTAAGTCTCAATCGTGAGTTTGGGATTCTTGATCCATAAGATTCGAAATCCTTAATTGTGATCTTGGATTTCTTGTCCAAGGTCCTAAGTATTTGATTTAGAGTTCTTGATATGGTTTTTTAAATTTAGAGATCAATGCCTTAAATTTGGGGTTCGAGACATGAGTGTATGATTTAGGCTTTAAGGTCTCAACTCCTGGATACTAAGGGGTGTATTCAATTAGGATTGTATATGATTTTGAAAGATTTTTTTTAAGTGATAGATTTCCTGAAATTGTATAATTTCCATAGGTTTTACCCGGATTTTTAATAAACTTGTATAGGCTTTTATTATAGTCTATGAAATAAAAGATTTCAACTTGTAGGGTTTTACCCCAAAGATTTCAACTTGTAGGGTTTAGGTTTGGAGAACTTTTGTTATAGATTCATATATATTTGCATAGACTTCCCAATACTATTTTCTTTTATCACTCTTTCTTCCCAAACACTATTTTCTTTAAACTATGTTGACCTAGCCACTAGTCGACCATCCTTTTTTTTTCCTTTTTTTTTCCCAAATTATTCCTCTACCTGCGTGCACAACGATGAATTTCCCTTTGAAATTTCCACGAGTTGGAAACTTTCATACCTAAACAATGAATTTCTCTTTGAAATTTCCACGAGTTGGAAATTTCCCTTTGATTTTGTTCACGAACAACAAACTCTTCGTCCAAAAATTCAATTAAAAATAAAAAACAACCCTTTGTCCAAAAAGGCAAGGGCCCTATCATCTAGTAGTGATATGGGTGATGGAAATATATCTCAACCTTCCACCGCCTTGAGTTGGCTTCACGCCTAGATGATCTCCAAGGGAAGTTATCAGAGATCGAGAAATCTCTAGCCGAGCTTTCCGCCCAGCAACTCCAACCGGTTGATTTGAAAAAATCACTAATGGAGGAGCTTTGCTTAATACAGGACGCTTGTAACCTCCCAAGGTCAATGCATGGTTTAGTGCATTGTTTGCCAAATGATGGAAAAATTTCTAATGCAAAGAGAAAAAAAAACATGTCGTATGAAATCTTTGGGGTGGAGATTGGACTTATGTTGACCTTTATTATTTATACTTAAACCCTACAAATTCTCCAAACTCCAACACTTAATTAAATCCTTCCAAATCTATCTCCGTTTGAATACAAGCAAATTTATTTGGACTTTTTTCCAAGTCCTAATTGAATACACCCACATTTAGATGAACATTTTAAAAGTTCAAACAAGTCTAGATTGAATACACCCAAATTGTTATAGACTTTTTAAAAGTTTGTAAAAATTCAAATTGAACACACCCGGATTTTTAAAATCTTTTTAAACGCTCTAGAATCCTTATTGAATACACCCCTTAAGTTTGACGTCTCATGTTTGGCATCCTAAATCTAAAGTCACGGGATCTCAAGTTTAATGCCAAACTCTCGAAGTCACAGATGTAGAGTCCAAGGTCCAAGTCAAGACGTTCCTTAAATTCAAGGGACAACCCCTTAAAATAGTTACAAGGGCAAGTAGTTTCATCATTTTAGAGAAATAGTGGGACATAAATCACTAACCATCATTGAACTAATATGATCAATTCTTTGATAATAATAATAAATAAATAAAAACTAATAAGATCAATTAACGAAAATAGAGTATTGATCCTATTTTGTCCTTTTACACTAGTTTCATTATACTATGATTTACATTTTGCTTACTGAATTATTAAAAATACAAACAGAAGAGGAAGAATCGCAAGTAGATAAAATGGGAGTGTGAGAAGCATCATTAAGTAAAAAATCTAATTCATAAGAAAAATAAATAATACAGAAAATAATAAATAAATAAAATCCATCATACAAGACAAAATGTTAAAATGGTTCAGTCCCTCCAAAATTGAACAAACTTGTCTAGTTACTGTCCGTCAGTGATATGAAATAACTCTTGTATAACTATTGGGCAGTGACCTGAGAGTTGTTTAATATCACTATTTGTGAGTGACATAAGTTATTTCATATCACTAACAGTGACTGGACCGATTTGTCTAATTTTTGAGAGGTCGGACTATTTTATCTTGATTCCTTCCTATTTGTCTTTATATGTTAACCGTTATTTTTGGTGGAAAAGAACGACCGTTAGATAACTTTAGATTCACGCCTTTCCGACGCGTGTCCAAGGAAAAGTGGATAAACGTTACCTAACGGTTTATTTTATCCATAACAAACGCCGTTTAAGACCCACTGCCTGAGCTCAGGGGTGGCATAAGAAGTCAAAACTAGGTCTTAATCCTTAAGACAGGTCCATCTCTATCCGAGAGCCGAAATTGCAGCTGCCCTGCCCCCTCAGGTAATTGTCCTTCTCTCTCACACAACCTCCTCCTCCTTCTTCAACCTTTTGCTAGCTTACCAAGTCTTATCTGAAACTTATATGGTTGAAATAAATCAGTGATTTCTAAAGTTTTTTCTTTTCTTTTTTCATTTATCAAAGATTGATCTTTGGTGCTTGTGCTTGATTTTCAATTTTTTCTTTTTCTTTTTTTTGGATTTTGGGTTCTAAAGTTAGTGATTTATATATGACTTTATCTGATCGAATCAAGTGTTATTTGGTTGCTGTGATCCCATATCGGCTAAGTATGTTAGTAACTTAGCAGTGATTATGTGAGCTGCTGGACACTCTTTCTTTGCAAGCTGATTTTACAAGGGAAAGTTCCATCTGTGGATTTATATAATCAATACTAATTTAATGGAAGAGATGAATTTTAGGACTTGTTTTTATCAGTGTGTCAAAAATTGTTTCTTAAGATTTTGACTTTTTCCAGTTTTGTATTCACTTTTTATTAATAGTCTTGATGCATTGGATGACTTTGGTTGATCACATGGATTTAGAAGTCAAGCTTACTTAACTCGAGATTGGCTGGCTACACATTTGGAACTTTAAAGTCCTTAATGATTAGTAGATTTGAGAATTGCTTATTTTGGTTTGGTATATGCTTGGTAGACCCAATTCCATGAGACTTTTTTTTTGTAGGGTAATTGGCTTCCAAGAAATTACCTTATGCTGATTTATTTTCCTTCTTTATTTTACCAATTTTGTAGCTTTATCGTAGCGCAATGTGTTTATGTAGGGATCCAAAACCCAGAGACTAAGAACCAATTGATCAACAAAACCAACCCAAATTGGAAAGCTATACTGATTGAGACTAAATAGAAGGAATACAAATTAAATGGAGTCAATGGCATAATATCACCCTAGCATATGCATGAAAGGCTTATTACTAAATCCATTGTGAAGGAAAATATAACCTATCTCTTCAGACAGGTAAAATGCAAGGAGCATTTAAAGCTTTTTCATCACATGGAAACATTGTGAAGAATGGAGTTTTGCGACACATCCGTCTTGTGAATCCCCTAATTCAGCTTGTTGCGTTTTCACGCTTTGAGTCTGCTACGCCTGCTCGCATAGAAGAGCATGGTTTTGAAAGCACCAGAATTGCAGACATCTTGAAAGGGAAAGGTAAAGGTGCTGACGGTTCCTGGCTCTGGTGCACTACAGATGAGACTGTTTATGATGCTGTTAAGTCGGTAAGCATATTTGAGCTTGATGAAAATTCGTTTAATTGCAATGATTTGATAAGCTTTGGCATGGAGGATTTATGTTATGACTCATAACTAATCAATCATTTCCTTTTCAGATGACCCAGCACAACGTTGGAGCCTTGGTGGTTGTGAAACCTGGAGAGCAAAAATCTATCGCAGGAATCATAACAGAGAGAGGTACTTTTATATTAAGGCTTCTGTGGCTCATCTACTGGATACATAAGACATTTCTATGCCTGTTTTGACTCTATAATTGTTTCCTGAGAATATTTTAGGCAATAATGATTGTAGATCACTTTGAATGAGGAAAACACTAATGGAAAGTTGGAAGCTCATTGTTCAACTCTTATGTGAGTTCAATTTGAGCCTTAGTCTTGACCATAGAAACAAATTCATAAGTTAATAAGGGTGAAGAAAAAGCGTTGAGTAGGATGTATGAACTCATATATGCACTTCTTGCAGAAAATAAAGCTAAAATAGAGTAGTAATTTAGTGAGCACCTATAGGAAACCACATCGGAAGAAAATAACAGTTGGGCAACCACAAGGTAAAGTTTGAAGAACAATCACTTTGTATGGTTTTCATGGACCTTGATTAGAAGATGATTTTCATTTTAAATTCAATTTAATAGCTGACCTGATATAATTAGAATAATTGCTGCTCAAAAGCAACTTTAAGAAAGTTAAAAAAAAAAGTTTGCTAGGAGTAAAGGGGTTTGTATGATCAAAAGAATCTTTCTTGAATGATAGGTCATAACTCATTGCCAAATTAGAAATGTTTTTGAATTTTCGGTCACGATTGAGTTCCTCACAATTAACTGTGTTTTCTGCTTTGGTGGATAATTTGTAGATTATCTCAGGAAGATCATAGTGCAGGGAAGATCATCCAAGTCAACAAAGGTCGGGGATATTATGACTGAGGAGGTATGACTTGTTAATGTTACATCCTCTCTTCACAGGAGACTTTGTGCTCACTACGATTTACATTTGTTAAAGTTCTATAAGATTTCTCTTCATGAATGCTTAACAACTGATGATGGAGAATGCCAAAACGTGGTGACTGCAGAACAAGCTTATCACTGTCACCCCTGACACCAAAGTTCTACGGGCAATGCAACTGATGACAGGTATATCTTCTCCTTCATGTTATTGGATTTTCTAACTTGCCGCTCTTTCTCTATTATATTTTTGAAACCAAGGAAGTTAATGTAAGCTTGACATTCATGTGTTTCATGGGTAGATAACCGAATCAGGCACATTCCAGTAATAGATGACAGGGGAATGATTGGAATGGTGTCCATTGGCGATGTGGTTCGTGCTGTGGTGAGTGAGCACCGGGAGGAGCTAGACCGCCTGAATGCTTATATTCAAGGAGGTTACTAGATGATGATGATGAAGACGATGAGATGCTGTTTAGTTGACATCCCGGAATGACCAACAGTAATAAGCCTGAATGCTTGTATATATCGTGTGTTGTTTGTGCATCTCCGGTTGTTTGGTTCTGTATTTCCCAATGTCTAATTACAAACTTGTGGACTATCAAGTGCTTAATAAATAGCAATGTTGTGTTTGCTAAAATCTTCTATGGTGAATTTTCACACACATGCATACCAATGACCCTTTTATTATGTTATACATGCGTCGAAACCATGATATCAAATGGCTTGGGGCCATTGTTAGGTAGAAGGGTCATTTTATCATTATTATTATTTTCAATAAATAGTATAGCCCTGCGGCTATATTATTATACAAAATGGTATAGCCGATCGGCTGTAATATTTTTACACCTACGAAGCGGGCTCAGGTCCAAGGCGGGTGGTCTACAAATTGTATATCCGAGCGGCTAGACTCGTGGTTTTTTTAATAAAAAGAGTATGACTGCACGGATATACAACAGTTTTTATTATTTAAAAATTGTATAGCTGCGCGGCTATACTATTTTGGATACGTGGTGAAATGGGAGTAAGACGCAGGCGGGTCATTTTTTATTATTTATAAATAGTATTGCCGAGTAGCTATAATCGGAATTTTTTAAAAATAAAAATGGTATAGCCGCGCGGCGATACTGTTTTGACACATGGCCATGTGGGCGGCATGCGCCAGGGTGTTTTTAAAAAATAAATAAATAGTATAGCTGCATGGCTATACGTGGATTTTTTATATAATAAAAAAAGTGGCGAAACGAAGAATTTTATTATTAAAATGACATAGCCGCCCGGCTATACAATTTACACATGGCAGCGCCCTTTTTTTTTAAAAAAAAAATAATAAACACGGCTATACAATAATAAAAAGAGTATAGTCGGTCGGCTATACGCAGGATAATTTTGTTTTTTTTAAAGAGTAGCCCTGCGGCTGTACGGCAGAGGGTTTTTTTTTAAATTTAATAAATAGTATAGCCGGGTGGCTATACTCTTTACATAAGACATTGTGATCTTTTATATATATATATATATATATAAAAGGTTTTTCCCTGATTTTTGTTTATCGAGAAGGGTAGTTTAGAGCCTTACTCATTACTATTAGGTCATTAACCGAGTCTCTATTGTTCACTTTTTGAGTTTTTACTTTTCCAAGGCAATACCGTATAAATAATTTTGCATTTTCATGTTTAATACTCGTATGTACACGCAGTGGCGGAGCCAGGAATCTTACCACAAGGGGTCTTAGTGTAAAAGTCCAAATAAAAATTTAGGATGGAAAAACATATTGAAAATGAAATCATAGTACTTTCATTCATAATTCATAACGAAAACAATATTACAAGCTATAATTGTCCACGACGAGATTTCATATTTTGAAAACGAAGCATTATAGCTTCATTTTCAATACAAGCAAAAATATATCTTTCAATATAAACAAGTAAGCTATCACTCAACCATTGATCTCCCATTTTGTTATTAAGTGGACCCTTAACAATATTCATGACAGAAAATGTTCTATCCACTAAAGCAGTTGCAACCGGTAAAACTAAAGACAATGTAATGAGCAAATACACATAATTGAATACTTGATGCACCCTTGTCTCCACCATTTTTTTTGCAAGATCACCAATCTTTTCCAATTGAGAGAAATCACTACTGGAACGCACATAATAAGTATAAATCTCAAGTTGATCTTCAAGTGCCAAACGATCCTCATCCAAAAAGTCTTGAGGATAAAATTGAGCAAGACGAAGTAACTTTGGTTTATCAAAAGCTACAAATGAATCTTTCAGACTTAAACATGCCAAACAAATAAGCAACTCGGTATTTACCTCATTAAAGCGATCTTCTAACTCCGTAATTTGCTCATCAATGACATAAATAAAGAGCTCCACACGATAATGATGATGATTTGTCTTTATTGGAGCATTACTGTAAGTCCCAATATGGCTTTCATCAAGAAAAGGTGAAACACAAACTTAAAAGCACTTATTTCTCTCATTAACTTATTTGCTTCATCTGCACTTTCATTGAGATTATCATTAATAACCATTTGAAGCACATGAACCACGGATAAAAACATAGAAATGATGCTAATCAAGGTACAATAGTGTGAGTTCCATCGTGTGTCACCGGCACGTTTGAGACTTGTTTCTTGATTTAAACCTCGCCCCGTTATAAGGCAATCATTTTCAAAAGCTATCACAAGCTCTTCTTGGAGTTGTCCTCTAAGTAAATCACGTCGCTTACAAGATGCTCCAATATGATTAACCACACTATTAGCCGTTGCAAAAAAAGAGGCAATGTCTATATTCTTCTTTGCCACAGCAACAAGAGCTAGTTGAAGTTGATGAGCAAAGCAATGAACATAATATGCATAAGGTTGTTCTCTCAATATCTTTGTTTTAAGATCATTCAACTCACCTCTCATATTACTAGCACCATCATAACCTTGTCCTCGTAGCTTGGAAATGCTTAAACCGTTGCGAGAAAATAATGTGTCAATAGCATCCTTTGGTGAACTTGAAGTAGTGTCGGTAACATGTTGGATACCCACAAATCTTTCAATTACATGTCATTTGTCATCAACATAACGCAACACCATAGCCATTTGCTCTTTCATCGACACATCTTGTGCTTTATCCACCAATATTGAAAAGAATCTGTCTTTTAGACCATCCATGATAGCATCAAGTGTTTCAAGGGCACATGAATTCACAATTTCTTTTTGAATGCAAGGAGCTAGTAATTTGAGATTCCCCGGAGCATTTTCCATCACAACTTCTCTAACTTTATTATCATTATCTACAATGAATTGCAATAGCTCCAAGTAATTTCCCCTATTGCTTGAAGTAGCACTTTCATCATGGCCACGAAAAGCAAGACCTTGTCGTAATAAAAACTTAGTGCACTTGATTAATGCATTCAAGCATGTGCGATAATTCTTACGAGCTTGATCAGAGTGTTTACTCACTGCCATTTCAATATTTGTGTTTTGATTCATCAAATTTGTAGTAGCTTCTCTAGCTTTGTTATAAACACTCCCAACCAGTCCAACATACATCTTAAATCTTTCTCTCCCTTTCTTCTAATTCTTAAATCCATCTCCAGTGAAAGCTTCACTACCCACTTGTTCAAAATTGGTTTTAAAGAGATAGCAATAGAGACAAAATGCCGCATATTTAGATATGCTATACTCCAACCAATCAAACTCATCAAACCATTGAGGAATGAAGCGTCGATTAATTCCTGACATATTAGTTATTGGGAAATTATGACCTTTAGGTTGACAAGATCCTTTTTGTAGATATGATCTTCGGACCTCATCTCTTATATTAGCATCATAATCTACCATTCGAGTTCTTAATCCAGGGATCGCTTGAAGATTACCCAAAACACCATCTAACTGACTTTGTCTTGAACTTGGAGTTCTTGAACTACCAACATTATTTGAACTATCAACATTATCCAAACTACCCGAACCCGATGATGACTTTCTCTTAAAAAACCGTTCCATAATAATTCTACATATACAAAATAATCAAAATAAATACTCACAATATAAACAAACCATCAACATAATCAAAATAAATATGAATTGGATTTCAATTAAATTAAATATATTCTACATATACAAAATAATGAAAATAAAAACTTACAATATAAACAAACCATCAATATAATCAAAATAAATATGAATTGGATTTCAATTAAATTAAATATATTAAATATATACAAAATAATGAAAATAAAAACTTACAATATAATCAAAATAAATATAAATTAGGTTTCAATTAAATTAAATATATCATACATAGTAACATAGGGTTTAGGACTTACTTGGATTGTGAAATTTCACAATTAGAATGAGTAAAACAAAGAGAGTAGTTGGCGGCGGCACCACCACACGACGATGACACAGCAGCGCAGAGGCACTCTCCAGTGGCGGCAGCAAGGGAGGAGATGGAGTTGAGGGTTTAGGGGGGGGGGGGAATTGGAGTTTGGGAAACTTAGGGTTGGAGGATAAAAAGCAAAAAAAAAAAAAAAAAAAAAAAAAGGGTTTTAGAATTGGAATCGGGTCTGTGGAGAAGGAATGGCTGGAGAGGATACGCTGGTCATTCTTTAATTTGTTTAGACCTGGCCAAAAAGACGTCGTTTTGGCCAGGTCATTTAAAAAAAATTCCTTGGGCCAAAACGACATCGTTCTGCCCAGGTTGTTTTTTTTAAAAAAACTGGCGCACTAGGCTTTCTTATTCAGCTTGCAACTGATGGTTCTTTCAGAAATTTCATCAACCACTTGTTGTGTAGCTCCAAGAGGTCACACCAGCAGCTCCAAGGGACCTTTAGGCTTATTTCCATGGCTTCCAAGAGGTTGTGCGACCTTATTGACCCCACTGTGGCTCCACCTCTGTGTACAAGTTCATATGTATTTTTCATGTTTAATACACTTATTTTTTACAAAATTTTCAATTATATACACAAAATACAGGTATTATACACATAATTTTAGCATATTATTGAATAAAAATAATATATATTAAATCAATTAAATAAATTATATTAAAATATTATATTATGGCCGAACTTATTAGTTGTAATTTGCCAAAATATTGCCAAATAAAACACGTACGTATTTTATTCATATTTTTTCCGTTCCGTATTTTACTAACTAAAAGAATGTGAGAGGCTAAGATTATTTCTTACTTATTGTAACAAAAATACATGATGGTGATTTTGAGAACACTTTGCCAACAAGAATAACAATTTAAAACAAAGATTTATGGGTATAGTAGTAAGCAAAGTGGTAGTATTCTTCATGTAAAGTGTTGTTTGAAATGTGAAGCAATTACCAAGAACCCTCCAACTCAGCATGCAATTCTGTACAACAAATAATGTGTGTAGTAGCACTTGAGAGAACGAGGTAGATCAAAGGTAAACATTCCCACAAAAAAGAAAAATAAAAAATTGAACTCTCATATTGATTTACTGTGAAATTTCTCTTTCTTCAATATCTACTTTGGTGATGTTGAAACTAGCAAATTAATATATATAAAGTATAAACTAATGCTAGAGTAATTCTATAGTGAGGGTCTTATCTATGGCCCTTAGGTGAGGTCATATCTCTTAACCATTGAATCAAACTAACTAATTTGATCCAACGGCTAACCAATGTGATCTAACGATTAAGAGATATAATCTCATATAAGAGCTATATATAAGACCCTCATTATAGAATTCTTGTTGTAATGTAAGCTTCTTTTGCTTTTGGGCCTTGGCCTATTTTTCACAAAAAGGAGATACCAAATGAGTAGAATCGAATCATGGTTTGCCTTAAGTATAATTTTCATTAGAACTTGAAAGATGTCCCTTTTCTTTTCCAACGTTGAAAGATGTTCAAATTCGAATTTCCCTCGTTGTTCACGAATAATGGAAGAAATGCATTGAAGAGTTTTTTTTTTGGGTGAATAGGATTGTCATGTAAAAAAAGAAGTTGAAGGTGGATGGATGGAATTAAAATAAATAAGACGTTAAATAACTTTTATTTTGGGTAAATAACATGAACTTTCCCCTCAATGCTCATTGGTCAAGAGACAACGTATTTCTTCCTTTTGTTTTGATGAAATAGGTCAAAGACAGTAATGTCAATAAATGTAATAATAAAACTCGCCTACAACGACGTTGAACTTTTAAAACGCGTCATCTGGCTTCTCAACTGTCCTTATTATGCACAGACCCACATCGGACGGACGTGGACAAAGGGGAAAGCCCATTGCTTTCCATTTTCTTATACTTTTTTTAAACTTTTTATTTAACTAATTAATTCTTTTTTATATGCTTCAAGAATCAAAACCCACCACAGGCCACGAAACCGTACAAAGTAGAAACACTGAACAAAATTTTACCTTACAAAGAAATTACAGACGCACAATCAAACCAACCCAATATCCGCAGAGCTCACAGCTCTTCACAGCACTTGAAGACTTCAGCTTTTCTCTGGTACCCTTCAATTCTTAGTCAAAGAATAATATATGGCTCTTTCTTTTTGCATATATTTTTCTTTTTATTATTATTATTATTATTATTATTTTTTGGCCTTTGTTTGACTGGTTGGTCCTTCCTCTTGATTTCTATCTGTAAGAAGCAGAAGAAGACGATTTTGCTGCTGCTAATTGCTAACTGAGCTTCTTTAGCCTTTGAATTGAAATTAATGTAGGCTGTTTTTTAAAGGGTTATTATTATTTTATTATTTTTGTTTTTAATTCTTTAAAAAGTTGAAAGCTTTAGAGTTGTTATCAAGAACTAGGAGTCCACCTGCATTTTTGTTGTGTATGTGAAATTGGTTTTGATCTCAACTCAACTCATCTTCATGTTTGGCAGAGTGTAAGTGGATAATCCAACAAGGCAGTATGGTGGGATTTCCTTTTCCCCTTGGTTTAATATCCTCTATCACTGGCTATGCCAGCCTTAGCGAAGAATTTCACTGGCTGGCATCTGCCTCTATTGGCATCATTCTCTGCAATATTGTAAGTACCAATCTCCGAGTTAGTGTTTACTGCTGGCATGAAACTTTTCTTTCTTCAAACCCTTCGGTTAACAGTCGCTGGAACATGCCCCCAAATTCAAAAGTGAACTGATATCTGGCTTTAATTTGTCTATGATGACCCTTCAAATCCATTTGTATTTAGTTTTCTGACCATATTCCTAGATTTGGCTTATGTTAAAATATAGCAAAAGCTTCAATGAGCATTTCAGGGAGAATTTCGTAGTGTCATTGTTTTCGATGTTCAAAGTAAAGTTTGGTCTCTTGTCTTTAAGGGTTAAAGAAGAAATCATGATTCAAGAGCATGCATTTAGATACATGTAATGTAGTAGACCCGGCTGCCCACTATGGTTTCAATATGTAGAATGGGAAATAAAAATAAAAACAAGTTTTCGATGATTCTTTTGGATAAGTTTTAATGTGAGTGTTGTATGAGAGGATAGATTAGATCTGGTTGTTATGTTTTGATTGCTCCAACCACTAGGTTCTTTTCCTGAGATTTTTTATCAAGTAGGTGTAGTTATTTTGATCTTATATGTGCAATGTATTCTTCTTCTTCTCTTTTCTCCGGATTTGGATTTTGTTTATCTTGAACGAAAATAAGAATGCATCTTATGACTTTTGACATTTTAATATCATTTTTTTATTTTCACTAAAATCAAACTTCAATTTCAAAAATAATTATCCAAAATAATATTTCCTTTTTTTTCCTTCTTAATTTTCCATTTGATGAAATTTCTCTCTTGAAGGTGTACAGATTAACACGTCTTATCAGCCTTCTTAGCTTTGAGGGATATCACAAACTGAGCAAAGCACAAAGAGTTGAATGGAACAACCGGTGAATATCTTTTGCATGTCACATATTTATATCTGCCTAGATTTCACCACATTGAACTTGTTTTTCTTAAAAAACACAAGTATTGATGCCTTTTCTTTCGTTTTTCCTCCATGTACAGGGGGTTCTCAACTGTTCATGCTATTGCTGTAGCATTTTCATCTTTTTACCTCTTACTGTTGTCTGATACTTTTCATGAGGATCATCGTGATGAGCTAATCATTAGTAGAAGATCTACTTTGTCAGATACAACATTAGGGGTAAGCAGATGCAGAAAGAAACATTCATTCATGGCTTAATTTCTATAATTTGTTCATGTGCATCCAAATTTTAGGTGTCTTTGCTTATGAATCTTTAATGGATTGGATGTGCTGCAACATGTCATTTATACTATATTACATTTTGTATCTGCGACCGTCTACCCATTTCAACCTTGTATTGGTTTTCTTTGCATCCTTTTTAAACCCAATTTGATTTTTTTTCCTTTTTTTTTAATTTAGTGTGACTGAAAACCGAATTTGATTACTTTGATTTGTTTTCTTTGAGCTAAATTAACTTCTAATTAATTTTTTCACTAATGCAGAAAAATTACATTTTACTTTGTCTACGCATGTTTGTGCACATGGGTTAGGCAGCTCAAGATTAACATCTTATGTCGATTATATCTGCTTGGTTGGTTGACCAAAATTAAACCTAAATACAATCAGGCCAACAATGAACCTGTTACTGGAAGATTGGTTTGAGTTGAGTTTTCAGGTGGTGCCAAAACTTGCAGTCCCTATTCTTCATGTTGAATCTTCATTGCTATATACATGACGATAGTTTCCTCAAACCATAAGTGACTCATATGTATCCCTGTGAAGAGGACTAATCATATTATGGAAGTAATAAGAGGCTCTTGTTTCTTCATTTTCTTTTCCTTGTTTATTTTGAGATTAGATCCAAAATTAAGGTAATTTACAATTTTGTTGGATGTGAGATAGTGTAACACACTATGTGATATTCTCGTATTGTTGTAACTGAATTTTTTTCTTCTTCTATATTTGGGTACTTTTTGCAGATCTCCATTGGATATTTTCTGGCAGACTTGGGAATGATATTTTGGCATTTTCCTGCTTTAGGTGGACTGGAGTATGTAAGTACATAGGCGGAAGGATAATGCCTGCTTGATATGCATAATAATAATCTCTGCGCCATTATGTCTTATAGGGCATTTCCCTCAAACCTTGAACAATATTTCTTGCCCCAAACTTCATATGGTGAAGTTGGGAGAAAATTGCATTTTGATGCACCAGTTGAATAAGTATCATGATTTGATCAATTTTTGGAGATTAGTTATATTACCTATCAAATTTTAATATGCAAGGCGAAGTCCATATAAACTGGTACCATTACGTTCATCTGATTCATCTTGTTTAGGTTTTGCACCATGCACTATCTATGTTCTCAATCTTTCTCTCCCTTGTAAGTGGAAAAGGGCAGATTTACATACTAATGGTTCTGTTCTCTGAGAGTACAACTCCTTTCGTGAACTTGAGATGGTAAGTTTAACACTGAGATATCCCTAAATTCCCTTGTTATTGGTTGTCAATATTGGATAATTTATTTAATTGCATACTCAGGTACTTAGATGTTGCTGGTAAGAAGAACTCTAATCTGTACGTCATCAATGGTGTAGCATTGTTCCTGGGGTGGCTGGTAATGTCTAACTTAAAATATCAGTTCCTTTTAGCTGTCATGCATTGTGATGAATACATATATTCATAATTTACTTCATTAAACATAATTTATTATGTCTAACACAATCGACTTCCTTTGATGCATGCCATTCAGGTTGCAAGGATTCTTTTGTTCATTTACTTTTTCATCCACATGTTTATCCATTTTGATCAAGTGAGTTATTGCTGTATAGTCCTCCTATAAAAAGAAAGAGCTAGATATGGAAAACAAAAGCTCTGTACTTATTATCTCTGAATTGTTTCAGGTCAAGACAATTTTCCCTTTGGGCTTTTACAGCTTGCTCCTGGTGCCTCCTGTGTTAGCAGTAATGAATCTCGTTTGGTTTTGGAAGATTGTTAAAGGTTTAATTAAAACTGTTTCGAAGGCCACTCACAGTCAATGATCCTACTCTCTCTTGAAGACGGGAACTTGACTTACCCAAATGTACATTATAGTCCCCAGTGTCTTTTTCCCATTATGTTTCTTGATTGAATTTGATAGATGAATAGAAAAACAAATACATGTGGATAAATATGATTATCTTTTCAGGGGTTTCATTTGTGTGATATTTGATTTTGTACATAAACTTCTATCACGACATTCATTGGATTTGCAAGATTTGTTTTCACATTTTCAATGGAGCATGACCCTGATATGATGTCAAAGAACAAAAGGGGATGCATGGATATGGATGTTTAAGAGAATTGATAAAGTCACGATGTTGAATGTATGATCAGCCAACTTCCATGACATTGAAGGCTTTCATCCTGCCAGGGCTTGAAATGTGGTTTCCCCTGAAATACTCATTCAAATACCAGAAGTAGTGAGTGCCAAGATTGGTAGCCTTCGTTTTATGAAAACTATCCTCCACTCATTTCTAAAGCAAAGTCAATGGTGCTCAAACATCTTTCCCCTAGTGCATAAAAACACAACTATTTGATTATATTTGTAAATAAAGGTCACACTTTTGGGAGTAACTTTTGGATGTTCTGGGTACATCACGTTGTTGGTGTATCATCCAATAGACGAAAAACATATGAAATATTTGCAATGCAGCTCGGCACATGTTATAAAAAGAAATGCAGGATGTTAGACAATAATTCCACATGTCATATATTTATTGGATGGTATACCATCCACGTGGTGTACTTGAAACATATAAAAATTTCTCCACTTTTGGAGGTTCCATTATAATTTATATGCACGTGGGGCTGATCAAATATTTTATAAAAGAAGGGCAAGATTTAAGTAGAATTTATAAGCAAGGGGATCTCTATCTCAATTTATTAACTATTACTTTCCCTTATTTTTTAACAAAGCAATTGTTTAAATTATTATTAATCAACATCTGCATTTTCTCTTTTTATGTTGTTGAGAAAATAATGAAATTGAAAGAATTAATCTTGACCAACTGACTTAACTCACATTTACACTTTCCTTTTTCTTAGATGATAAAATAATGAAATTGAAAGAGTTAATATTATTAAGAAAGTTCTGACTGAGAAAGAAAAAGAAAGTGTTAAGAAAATAAAAGTTTTCCCATAGATTTGGAAAAAAGTAATAAATATACGATCGAAAACGGTAGTCATGTCATGTAAGAAAGGGAAAGTCGGTTGCAAGCGCCGCGTAGGAAGGGGTGATAAAAGCAGAGCCCACCACACACAAAACCCACAACCCAAACCCAGGAAAAAAAATAAAAAAGAGGAGAAACTTCTTGGTCGGTGCGCTGTGCACTGTGCACTGTGCACATAAGATAAAGCTTCCAACTTTCCATCTATCCAAGTCCGAATCCAATACAGCTTCCTATACGATTTGGGTCAGTGTCAAAGTTTCAGTGTGTTTTGTGTGTAATTTGTGCGTGAGAGGCCGAGGCTGTTAGTTGGAACGTTGAACCAGAGACAGAGACACTGAGAGACAGGGACAGAGAGTCCATATTGGATGCTATATTTATCGACACACCAACCAAAACAAAAATCATAAAAGCAAGACCCAATTTTTTAGGTTTTTTCTTTGCAAGGGGAAAACATACGGACCAACGTTTTTGGCGGTCCGTTTTTGCTTCCTTGCCTTGTAAACTGCAGTGTTTTTGCCTTACCTTACTCGCCTACCCTCTTTATTATTTATTCAACTATCCCCATGGCTTGTTTTAACTAAAGATTGTTTGTCTTTCCTTCTTTGTTTTCAGACCACTCAAACTCCAAATCGGAGATCATGAAAATCCCAAAACCAATTGATGGATTAGTAGCCATAAATTGGGATATGCAATAGGCAATAGGGCAATAGGCGATATATATACATATATATAGCTGTGAGTTGACAGACAGGTGAGTGAAAGCTTAAATCTTTGGACAGAATGTGGAGATGGTGGAGAAGCAGTGGTATGGTGATGAAGCAAGTGGTTGGTAGCAACCACCTTGGGAAGCCCAACAGCCCCTACCCATGTATTGGGCAGGTGTTTGGATTAAAGGGTTTTGCAAAACAAGAATGTGGGTTGTTGACAAATCCGGCAATATCTTCATCAGCACTTGTACCCAGAAGGACACTGTCATCTTCTGATGATTTCAATGGAGGAGGAGAGATCAACAGAGGAGGAGGAGGAGAGACCATATCTTTTGCAGAGGCCAAGAGGCTGATGAGGCTTGTCAATGTGGAGGCTTTGAAGATGAGGCTTGGTGCTGAAGGAAAAGAGGCCATACCATATTCTGATCTTATTGAAGCCTGTCAAAGCATTGGGGTTGCCAGATCTCCAGAGGAGGCTGCAGCTTTTGCTCGAGTGCTTGATGAGGCTGGTGTAATCCTTCTCTTTCGGGACAAGGTCCTCCTTCATCCTAATAGGGTATGCCACCTCCAACTAGTTCTAATTTATAGCTTAAACGCAATTTAACTTTCAACTTATGTCAAATTATGCTTTTCTCATTGGCCCTTTTAGTTTTAAGAACACTGAGTGATGCCTTCGCCGCTTGGAAAAAGGGTTTGGGACACTTTTATCCGTATTTGCTTTGGTTGGCCCTCTGGCTGGCCCCTCTTCAATTCTTTTCCCCATTATTCCCTTGACCTTTTCGGTTTTTACGTTGATGCTTTAAATTTTAAAGCTGTGATTACGTGATTATCAAGTGCACAGAGGATCACATGTTGGGTCTTTATCTCTTTAGACCTACAGATTGAAGGAAAAGGAAACTAAATGAGAATTATTTTTAAAGATGAAAACTTTATAAATTCAATACTACCAAGCGTAGGAGGAGATGCAACAGGTTTCAGTGTTAATTAACTACCCTGTTAGGTCTTAGTATCCCATCAAAAAGCTCAAATAAATCTCTGACTATAAAGAGGTTCCTATGGTTTCCCCCTGTGCTTCGGAATTTGAGCAGATCCCAGCAACTTGTCTTCTTTTGCTTCTTGCTCAGTTTTTATGTATTCACCAAACGCAACATAGTATTTTGATAATTCTTTTGGGGTTCAATCTATGTGCTTTTAGCTTCTATTGTTCCACGTCTGCGATTGTGATTTTGAATTTTTACGTTAGTACTTTGGCAGTTTTGTGTGGTGTTTAGACTTCTCATCTTTCAAGTCTAATGCATAGATTCCAATACCAATTACAGGATCTATTCTGTTTGGTTTTTGTGGATTTAGGAAGAGTAATTTGGTTTTGGATATGGATAAGTAATATTCCACAATATTATGATCTGTGCTTGCATTGTCCTTTTGTATTCATCCCTGCATCATTTTGGTATCTTTACTGACCTCATTTAGTTCATTGGTCTAGCCATTGACATATTTCATTTTACCTTCTATGGAAAATCGACCAAAAAAAAACCTTCTATGGAAAATAATTAACAAAATTTATTTACTCTACTGGCTACTTTACTTCTGTACTTCACCATCAGTGCTTGCTCTAATCACTTCCAATTCAATAATTAGATGAATGCAAGTCCATTTACCCATTTTTCGTTGTTCTTCTCCTCATATTAAGGGTTCCATATGATTTCAAATTGCTTAAGAAAATCCTACCAGCTGGACGTAATGAAGAAGATTTTGAAGGGTCTTGGTTAAACTGCTTGGGTACTTTCCAAGGCCGAAGTGTTTGCATTTGAATGGAGGTGCATAGCCATGCACCTATGGCTAGGTATCCAGAATTTTTACTTCTAACTAGTTCTATGTTCTTGACATCATTACAGAGTTGAACGCGGTGTGGTTGCAAATTATTTGTTAAGTTTGTTTGTCATCTGTGCTTTGGTGCTGGCTGCTGGTTCCACTATAACTTGAACCAGCCAAATGCAATAAGCAACCTTAATTTATTGGTTTTCCCTGTTTTCTTACGTTTATGTCCGTGTTGTGGTCTAGTGTTTTTAAAAGATGAGAATAAAGAATTTGAGCTAGTCATGAGAGTTTAATTAAATACAAATATATATTTTCGAAGGCCTTATGTTATGTTGACTCGTGCTGCTCCATTTCATTCCTAAATGTTCAGGTTGTGGAGCTGGTTCAAAGAGCAGTACCCCTTGTCCTGACTCCTGAAGATGACCCCATGTGGGAGGAGTTAAAGGTGCTGCAGGAGAAGAAGGAAGAAATTGATGTGCAGGCACATAAGCAGGTTCGGCGCATTCTCTGGTCTGGTCTGGTGCTAGTTGTGGCACAGCTCGGGCTCTTTTTCAGGCTAACATATTGGGACTTCTCGTGGGATGTAGTGGAACCACTTGCATATTTCACAACAACAACTTGCATAGGCATAGGCTATGCCTACTTCTTGATCACTTCAAGAGATCCGACTTACCAAGATCTGATGAAGAGGCTTTTTCTCAGGAGGCAGAGGAAACTCATCAAGAGGCATAATTTTGATGTTGAAAGATTCAAAGAGATACAGAAAAAATGCGGCACGCCTCTACATGCGAGTGCCTCAATTAAGAATCGGGTAGGCATGGAAGTGGAGCTGGACGATGCTTTGCATAGGGAGTAACACTTTTCCATTTTGATTTTTTTGGCGGGGGTTGGGAAAAAACGCAGGAGGTTATTAACACTCCTGTTGGTTACAATCTGGCCTCTCCTGTTTTTATGTAGGTAGGGCCCATAATTTTTGAATTTATCTCGTTGTTTCTGACCTACCCTTCAATTTTTTGGCACCAAATGTCATGCAGCTTCTGCTTTAACTGGGGAGAATGTAATGGATACTGCTTTGCTTAACTAGTTGCATCCACTGTGTTCTCTTATTGGTAAGAATGCACAATGCTGCCTGTATCAAATCCCGTATTGCTCATTACGTTCTATCATTTTTTTCCTTGCCTTGGGTAATATTATAGGGGATCACATTATGAACCACATCTTTGATACAAGTATGACCACTTGTATGGATACGGATCAGACGAGTTTTAGAGATGTGAAATGTGATTCAAACAGTTTACCCTTTTCTAACTTTAGATTGTTGTGTTATTTTCATATCGAGTTCAAATTTCAGGTCTACTGAAAAGGGAAAGAAAGAACAGCAGCTGCTGAACATTGCAAATAAATTATAATCATATTGGCTCTCGCTATCAAGTAACCAAAACATGTTTCAAAGGACAAGTCCATTAAGCAATTTGACAACCTTAAAAAAAAGAAGAAAAGGAGAATTAGATGATCATATACATGTTCTTCTTTCTATATATCAGAAAGTCACCTTCAAGACAACTGAGTAGATCAATGACAGATTGCTCTTCAGATCCATTGAAGTGCTCCAAAATCTCTGCGAGAGTAACCTGCAAAGCATTCATGTTTTTGTTATTTTTTTTTCGGTTGAAACGTTTTTGTTATTTAGTTTTTACATTGCCATGCTGTCAAAGAGTGAGGATAATAAATATTTTCATTTGACTAAGTTGACTTACCCCATCTTTGTTCTTAAGCCAATTGAATAAGGAACTCTCTGTTGCCTTCAATGCAATAGAATTTCCGTCATCTGGACTACTTAGTTTTTGGCGTTTCTTTGAGAGTGCATCCTCAAAATGTACTTTGGGTAGCTTTACTGTTTGTCCCCAGGTTAAGGGAAGAGAAGCAGTTTCTTCATTTCCACCCATGGTTGCAACTGAGTTTTGGACCAAGGTTTCAGCTTCACAAGGTCCTGCCATGGGGGATGTACGAGTAGAACATGGTAACGATTCTGTTTCCTTGTTCGAAAGTTGAGCAGCTTTTTGTGCATCGTGGAGGTTAGATGGAATCACTTCCAGAGATATTCCATACTTTTGCATTGCCAGGCAAGTCTTGATGTGTCCATAACTTATCTGGCATAGTCAAACAGTTTCAATCAGATTCTGGAACTAAATGGCCTGTATATATAAGTCTTAAGTGCATATAAAAATAGATTCAAGTAACACAGACACATTAATCACATAATTAAACGAGAACTCCCAAAACAAGGGAAAGGTTTTGAAGCTCACATCTTCTGGTAATTCTTCTTTGATAGGCTTCAACTTTTCACTAGAGCCAACCTTTAAAATGGCACACTGAATATCTGACAAAACTTTACGCGTCAGCCCAACCTCGTCGCATAATCTGATCCAATCAATTTCACATCCTTCTTGAGCAGCGTCCATCAGATATTCATGAACAGTCTGCTCTTTAATAGGAGCAGGTCTACCAGGGAAGTTCTATGATTGAAAAAATTGAAAATTACATAGGATGGAAGCATGAAAGAAAGGTAATAAACCGTAGTAAATACTGAATATTGAAAAGCATACAGCAATTTTCCGAATTGAGAGACCCTCTTCATGCCACATCTTCCAAGCTTCAAACTTTGCTGGCATTAACTTTTTTGGTTGGTTGGATACTGGATAGACTTTTCTTGTAATAGCAGTTTGTACAGTTGCCTCTCCATCCAACGTAAGATTTAGTCCTTGTGATAGATCCCGGATGATACGCAGAAAATTGTTTCCATGTGCCACTACAAGGTGCTACAACATATATAAAGTTGACATTTAGCCTTCATATATATTAGAAAAAGTTGAAAGAGCAGGAAAAGTTAAATGAAAAAAAAAAGGTTCCTTTATATTTTTTCTTGGATGAAGTCATTGAATCTTCAATTATATATAAAAATTGCAGGATGCACTGAGCTATGACTAGGTGGAATGAGAGCCCAACCAACTGTTCGTTCAGTGAAGGAAACAGAACCAGGATATTGTTAAGGACCAGCAGAAGTTTAGTGCATATTATGTACTCTCTTGCTTAGAAGTACATCACGTCTCTACATTTGATCTGCTTTTGAGGCATTTGAAAAACATTCAGGCATTTACAAAATTCAACTCTTGCAGAAATAATGCTTCTAGTATAGAATTGAACCAAGCATTATAGAATTGAACCATGCATTAAAGCGTGTGTAGAAATTCCATGTTACTTCAGTAAGATTATTTAATATACTGTGAGTTTATAATTATTATTATTTGCATTGGCAAGGCACTGTAGTGTTCAACCCTGCCCAACAACTTTTGGCTGGCTAGTTGTGCTCATGTCCACTAAATATTCCGGATAGCACTAGAAGCCGTAAGTAAAAGTGTGGCAGAACTCAAAAGACGTATCAGTCTCCAAACCTGTTTCACATAAATGTGAAACTTTGATAATGTATCAAAACCTCATAGTTAAGAATTTGCAATTTTGAAAAGAAATTGTTTAACTACAAGGCCTTAATTAGTTTGCTACTCAAAGCTAAGATCCTGGTTAAGAAATGATTTGCTATTGCACTGGTGATAGTCATATATACAGAAAGCTTTGCTATTGCCCCCTACAAGACATACCTGATTGACACCATCAATGTTTGCTAACCTTGCTTTGGTAGATGGTCTTGTTAAAGCAATTTTTTTGATCGTTTGATCACCACAAATAGCATATGCAGAAAAAGACGAAAAACACGGATGAAACTCAATGTTAAAAAAGAAAAAAAAAAAAAAAAAAAAAAAAAAAATTCTAGACAAATTATTTTAGATTGGACGCCTTGATTATATAACTAAAAAGAGATCCTACGGTGCAGTTCCAATGGCTCTTGCAAGCTTCCTTCTCTCTTCTAGAAGCAGGTGGTAGAGTTGTTTCTCAGCCTGAGAGCAATAAAAATGCATAAAGAAGGTAAAAGTATGAATGACCAAATAATAAAACAGAGAGATGCAAAACAAACATGTGAAAGAAAAACTTTGGACCCACATTTATCAATATGCCAAGAGCAACCATAAAAACTTTATGTTGTTTTTCAAGTACACATGCCTCACTGGTTCAGTCATCTAAATTTTTCTGGCAACGTTTCAAAGGAAGCTGAAGGAAAGGAAAAACTACTGAATAAAAAGGACAAGGATGATTTACTAGATTTGTCGAGAAAAGAGATTATATTTTTAACTTTCCATGGTTATAACGTGTTTGTTAAGGCATGCAAAACACGAAACTTCTTTGGGCAGATCTGATGCCAACCTTTTCTCAATGACTCAATTTATACAGTCAAGGATGACAACAGACAACGATGTAAAGATCGAATATTTGAGGTGAATGAACATAATAGTGCTGAAATTACCAACCTCTGAAAATCCTTCACATTCCACAGTAGCAAAACTTTTAATTTCTCCAACTTCACCTGAGGCATGTTTATTGTCCTCATCATCGACCATTTCACTGGTCACTGGCAAGACTAGGGGTGCTTGATGATCAGGCCCAGCAGAACTAAGAAATTGGTACCCTTTTGGACTAACACTGATCAATGAGGAAAAAAAATTCTATCAATTTCTTTTTCGAGTTTTGTAAAAGTAATTTGAAAAAAAAGAGAAAGGACCTATTATCAATGACAGAGAAGTGTCATTTTCTGATGGCATCCAATATCATTAGAAAGCAGAGACTTGGAAAATATTCATTATAAAGTTTTACGTTTTACAAAAACAGTATAAATGAGAGAACACTGTACCTTACAGTTCTGTATATGTCATTTACTGTTTCCATCAAATAACCTGTATTATGTTATTATGTAGAGAAATTAAATTCCATTTAGGGCAAGAACTGAATATATGAAGCCTTAACATACAAATCAGATGAATAATCAACGACAATGAACTTATGTAGTTAATAAAACAAACTGCTTATTTCTCAGCCTCACTACTTATCAGTTGTAACTACGTAGCTAAGACTTCTAAACATTCTACAGATGCATAGTGAATGAAATTAAATCCATCAATAGATATATGTATGTCCTAGTAAAAGCTATATCACACCCTTTGCAAGCTAAAACAATCCAAATACCAATGATTCTGAGGGATGTGAAATTGTCACCTCAATGTAATGGTAAAGAGGATAGCGCTAACCTAGTAAACTCTTATTTAAATGATATATGAGGTTCAAGTTTCAAAACATGTCAGTCATACAACCCAGACTCTACATTTTATGGAGCAAAAGTGCAACAAAATTTTCAACTGAATGACAAAATAACCAAATGGAATTCACCAAGGGTACAGTAGTAAACAGATATATGGAAGGCAGAACCCACTAATCTGAACCTTACAGTAGGTTCCACATTCTACTGGTAGAAAGTTCATGTCAAGCTACAATCCTAGGCAATGTGCCCATTACATGGTTAACACCCAATAGTCCAACTTATAAAACTACCCCTAGACGTAACATATAAGAATTGGTGAATTTCTTAAGCATTCATACGCCTAAAGTATTAAAAAGTTAAACATTATACTTAGAGCAATGAGACCCATTGATAGAGTATTAATAATTTGTAAAGATCTTGTTGTGCATTAATTACAGTTCACTATAATTGAGAAGTGTGCCCTCATATACCAGAAGAAATTAATTGGTAACCAAGTGCTTTCCACCAATTTGAAGAATAGTCCTTCCCAAGTCCATGTAGTGGAAGCTTGTCATATTGGGGATCAATAATTTTTTTTGCCTGTATGCCATAGGGAAAAGTCACTATCATCAGTAATGCAACAACCACGCAAAAGTTGAAAAAGAAACAGGAAATGAAAAATGATGGGAGCTTTCAGAAAGAACAGAGGTTGACAGAAGCTAATTGTATACAACTGTGACAATTAAACCAGACTTAAGCAATTCCTATCAAACACTACAAACTTCCACTCCTATTTTTTTATTTTTTTTTCAAACAAAGAAGTTACAATTGTCAGCTACTGTCACTCACATAACTCGATCACTAGCAAAAACATAAGTTTCTCCTTCTCCGAGCTTCTCTTTTTTATCTATTTTTTTTAGGTGACAGAGTTGAGGAAATATCTTAGATAGAAATGAGACCATGAGATCAAAGGTCAAAGCAAAATTTATCCATACTAAAGCATTTTCAACTCTTTGAACACCTGGATCATTGAAAGCTAAACATTTACATTTGAGATTCTTGATTTAAGCCACTAAAAGTAACAAATGAAAAAGCACAAAAGCCAATCAAAAAGAAGGAATGAACTAATTATGCACCTTTATCAATGATAAACATATGTTTCAAAATAAAAATAGATAAAAACTTACTCGAGAGCCACGAAGAATGTCTACAGGCATATTGAGACCCCATTTACTCCCACATGATTGAATGCAGGCCATTAGAAGAAATGCTTCTCTAGACATGTCCCGCTCCCTCTTTGAGGAAATGCAGTTATCACAAATACCTACAAGAACAATTCAATCAATCGCATAATAATTGGTTCAATTTAAGCTGAAAGCTTATTTATAGTGGAATACTGATACGATGCTATAGCTGTAAAACAATTATTTTTCATTTTAATATTGTAGCTTAAAAACATTTTGAGAAACAACTTAAACGACAATTAATCTATCAAGCTATCAAGCAGTCCAATCATGTTGCACATGAAATTTTATCATTGCTGCCATGTCCACCACCAGCATGTTCTACTAATTTAGTAATAAAAAAAAAGGTCCAGAATTTTCCCTAACAAAGAAATCCCTAGCATCAAAAGCTAGCAGTGAGTAAATTAGGCAGATGATCGGACTATAGCATATGAATACAAGTTGAAACCTAAACATTGATATTTAAGGAGACTTGAACACATTCATTTTAATAAATAAAGAAGACCCATACCACATTTATCAGCTAAAACTTTTTCCCCAAAGTGACCAAGCAAGAACTTCCTTCGGCAAGTTGTCAGTAAACAATACTGTTGTGCTGCCATTAATGACTCAACAACAGCTCTACGTTGACTTTCCTGGCAATTAGCAGCCAAAAAACCATGAGGGCAGTGACATGGATTCAAACACAAGCTTAACAGCAAAAACATGCCAAAAAGAAAGCCACTTTCAAATGAAATTAACCAACAAATTCAGTTACATAACTTGCTCATGTATTGCATTAAAGAAAATTTAGGAAAATATTAAAGAAAATCTTCGAAACATATTTAGCAACATCCTACAAGAGAAATGACAGAAACACTTACTGTTTGTAACTCTCCAACATAAAAGTCAGATTTTGCAAAGTCACTTCTAGTGTAATAAAGCCAGCAAACAGACGCCACACCATCTCTGCCGCAGCGTCCACTTTCCTGGTAATAGGACTCCAAACTCTTTGGGCACCCATAATGTATCACTTGCCTTATGTTGGGCTTATCAATACCCATGCCAAAAGCAATTGTAGCAACCATGACATCTAATTCATCTCTTGTAAATAATCTGATGAAAATGAATAGCAAGCATACTCAGTTTAATAAGCATCATGTCAAGTCTGCTGCAATGCAAGGTTAAGAAAGGGAAGGGTGCTGTAGTCAACAATTACACTAATACTCTAAATACACATGGAATATAAGTGATAACCTATGGGACTCTGCACGAGCCTTACTGTCCATTTGACCATGATAGATTCCAGCCTTAATACCTAGCTCCTTGAGTGACTTGAATACCTAGTGAAGATAAGGTGATGAAAAACATTATAGGACATATAAACCAATTCTTTAACAAATTACATTCATGAATAAAACAAGACATTGATATAACTTACCAGAAACATGATACATTATGAACTATAAATTACATAGATATAGTACATACATAAAGATAAGTATGTCAATAGGTGGTAATCGTTTAACTATAAAATGTCGGGGCAATGAAACATGGCTGAGTTGGTAAGAATTTATCATATTTTAGATTTCATACTTAAAATTCGAAATTAAGTTCATGATATGGAGCCTTCTTATAATGAAACTTCACACATTTTAAAATTTTGATCTATTAATAGGAAGGTATTAAGAAAACCCTCCTTAAAATCTTTTAGTTAACCATGAATCTAACTTGATTTCATGCGTTAGGAACACCTGCTAGGTTATATGTGCTATCCCATGTTATACTTGGATAGTTGGACCAAATAACATTGCTTCAAAAAGGGACTTGGAAAACTTTGAAGTGTCCATGTAGCGTAAGGTCTACCAAAAGAGGCATCCCTGACTTAGCTAGATAATTAGAATGAGTCTCCAGTTCAACAGAACTAACTGAACTAAGCTTTGTCCTAAATAGTACCATCATCCTGACTTGGTTTCTGGAAATAATTAAACGAAACACTGTAAACTAAATTGAATTCATGCTCAATACATCAAAATATTGAAATGTCAGTTAAGTATTTTCTTTTTCTTTTTCAGTCCTAAGTTTCTTGGATAATTGACAATTAACCATTCTTGGGGACCATTTCAGGATACACTTATCCCGTACACACGTCAAGTATAATATAAAGCAGATGAAGAACATACCTGCTCAACATCTTTAATTGTTGTGCAGTAAACGATAGTTGAACCATCTCTGCGTACGAATTTTGAAACTTCTTGCACTAACTCATGAACAAATGATTGACCACGATTGAATGACTTGACACCATAAAACAGATTTGGACGATCAAATGAGCCTATGGTAACGTATGGGTTTTGCATCTTCAAGGAATTAACAATGTCCGTTCGAACCCTGGAATAGTTAAAACCAGAGAAGATGAACCATAGTAGTCTTCCTAACAGAAAAGCCTTAAAAGCAAACTAATGTCAATAGTGAAGAGAATCCAGGTGCAGGATTATTATAGTTTTCACCAATTGGAAAGAGAGAATAGTCAAATATATATTAAGTTATAAAAGATCATAAGAGTAAGGGCCAAGTAACAAAAAAAATTCATCTGCCATTATTCCCTAGGCTCTAGTAAATTGCACAAAGGTCATAAGAGACTACTTCACTTCCTAGTTCATACATTTGTTCTGCTAACTTACGAAGTTCCCAGGGTCAGCAGAATTAAAGGAACAAGAAGGAGACCAAGAAAAGAAGACACAGATTTCTGTTATGATATATGGTACTGAAAGCAGATAATACAAACTTGCTACGGCAATAGTGTGTTGTTAGTTTTATTGCTTGAATTCTGAGGATGTTAAGCAAAATGAAGCAATACTCGAATCGAAAAGCAAGAGTTGATAAGAACATTAGAAGCCCAGAGAGAGAGAGAGAGAGAGAGAGAGAGAGAGAGAGAGAGAGAGAGAGAGAGAAACCTACTTTTCAGTAGCAGTCGCAGTTAAGGCAATAAATGGAACATCAACAAGAATGCCACGTAACTTGTCTAATTTCTTGTATTCCACCCTGTAGAGCCACAAAGAGAAATCCTCAGAAGAAGATTATTACAAGGAACAAATATAGGAAAAAGAAACAATAAACATTATACTAGGTAAAGAGCAAAAGTGCATCGATTTCGGGTAAATGATCAATAAGTGGAGAGCATTATTATTTGTAGTTTATACCAAGTTCGCAAGAAATTCAGGTAAATGATTAATCGGTAGAGAGAGAGCTATTTGAAAATATTATAGAGATGGCAACCTGGCACTAAAGGCTTAATAACATTAAGGTAATTGTAGGCGTAAAATAAATCATTACAAGGAACAAAGTCAACACATGAACCTCTAGGAGATGAGCAAAAAGACACTTTTTTCAAGGCATGCATTAAAATAGTAAGTTGGGAACAAGAAACTAGCCCTAGTGCAAGCACCCAAAAGACCAGGCAACTTCAGCTGAAAACTGACATAGGATCAGAACAGGGAACTAAATTTGTTGATCTCAATCCCATTCCTAACAAGACAGGTTGCAGGATTAGATCACAAGGATGACCATGTAGTCAAATAACTGAGACTGATACCAAAACAAGTTTCACAGGCCAGAGGCCCAAAGTTCATATACTAAGTCTACAAAAATCAAGCTATTAAGATTTACTATAGAAAGAAGCAATAAAAATCAAACCTGAAATCATGGCCCCACTCCGATATGCAATGTGCTTCATCAACAGCAAACAAACAGATTCCAACACTAAGCAATTTTGACCAGAAACTGCAAAGAAGACATAAGATTCAGGATACCAATTTCTGTAAGAAAACAAATGCTAGAATATAACATTGACGTCGTAATGTCCACTATAATGCTTCCGAGTGTCAATAACAATCTTGATAATGGAAAAACTATAAAGTTTTCATCCAAAATCATACATACACACATGGGAAGAAATTTCAAACTGGTAAACGGCAAGTAATAAAAGTAGTAAAGTACCTGGCAGGAATCAAACATGCCTTTTCTGGGGTCATGTACAAAATATCAAATTGACCACTTTCAGCTCTGTTCTGGACAGTGGAATCTGTTTGACTACTTCCCATAAACTCAGCTCTGATTCCTCGTTGTTTCAAAGACATTACCTTTAAACAAAAATTTAAAAAGTTTAAGATGACATGCAATTACTAATTACTAAGTTTGAACATAAACAGAAGTAAAGCGACATGATTATTAAGCACTAATCAACAACAACAGCAACAAAAGCAACAAGCTTAGTTCACCTGATCTTGCATTAAGGATATAAGAGGGCTCACAACCACACCAGTCTTTCCAACAACCAAAGGAGGCACTTGATAGCTGTCAAAAATCAACCCAATAAATCAAACAGTTCAGAAAGCCTACTAAAACGATAGAGAAAAAGGAGGAGGCTTTACCACAAGGACTTGCCGCTTCCAGTGGCCATGACAATCAATGAGTCATTTCCCTCTATGATTTTCTCTATCACGTCCTTTTGGTACGGCCGAAATGAAGAAAACCCAAAGTATTGCTATACCCAAAAAACAAAAATTGAAAAACTACAAAATGACTAAAATTGAATTTTCCTTTTAAAGATTAAAAAAGGAAGAAGAAGATAAGCTCGTCACCTTGAGAACGGTCTGCATGGACTGCATTTTTATCATTTTATCAGCTTTTCCGTTTGAGACGATTAGTGTAGTTCAGGACCAGGGAGAAAGAAATGCTTTTTGTGTTTTTGAGCTTTTTTATTTTTGGCGTTTGAGGTTTTGAGGGCATTAAGTAGAGAATATATATAACCTCAAAATTAATTGATTAAAGCAATTACCAGTACAGTGCCACCTTCTCCCGCCATTTCTTTGAGGAAGAAATCTGTACCCACGGCCCAAATAACCACAGAGATTGCCCAAGTTTTGATGATCCAAGCTCCATTTGGGCTTGCAACTAGGGGCCTAAACCCCAAGTTTTTATCTTATTTATTTATTTAAGTTGTGGATCAATATCCTAAAAGAGAGATTAATATGCAAATGACCCACTAGTACAGTGGTTTCGAGAAATTACTTCTTAAGCTAGGTCTCGAGCTCGAGTCCTAGCATTCGTGTAGTGTATATGAGTTTAGTATATTGTTGCCCCTCTCAATAGGAAAGGTCCTCAAAATAGAAAAAAGAGATTAAAATGTGAATTATATTTTGATTATATATTCTATCTTGGGTTCAGTTGGTGGCAAATGGTAGGTGTGCGACCGTAACACCACGTCAACTCAATGGAATCGTGAACCTTTGCTTACACTCCGTGAATCCAAGGCTTAAGACATGAATTTATCATAACTCTGCGAAACAAGCAAAGTCAGCTCACCAGCTTCTGAGCTTAGAAGAGCAGCTATTACATAACCAGATTCTGCAAATATTTCTCTAACTTGGCAAAGTCTGAGCATAACATAGCAAATTGTCTCACAAGATAAAATTTCCGCGCCAATTAAGACTTAACTAGCTACATAATGCATAACGTCAACCATTTTATCTCTTTTGGCAAACATAGAAATGATAAAGAAAACATAATTTCTCTAGCAATCAATGATAAGATCCGATTTTAAGTTAACACAACTAAACTATGATGCTTAGACTCTAATCCAGCTAAAACCATAGCAAACCATCCAATGCGCGAACCATAACTAAACTAGGTTGAAAATATCCAGTGAGAAATAAATTACATATTGCGCTGCAAGTAGGAACATCTACATTCTACAAGAACAACTTTCTGTATTCTTCTGCTTCTTGTACCATTTCGTCAAGGCTTCTGTCCTTCCTGTCCTTGTCTAAATCAAGCTTTTGCTTTAATTCTTTCTCCTTTTCATCTAGCTATAATATTGATGAAATACAGAAAGTAAATACAGGAGTCCAAAATGTAGGAATTAGGAAGTGTTTGATAAACAGTGAAATAAATGTTGAATCTTACTGCATCGTAAATTTCATCATTCTCCTCAAAGTCGCCACCTTTCCGTGGGATGATATGGATATGAACATGGGGCACAGTCTGTCCAGCTTGGGGTCCATCCTACAGTTCAAACAACGATGATGCAGCTGGCTTTAGGGGACACACAAGCTTGAATATATGAAAGAGAACAAACCTAAAAGCTTGTAGGAAGTTTTGAAGTACGATCACAATGAGATTTTACATAAGATATCTTGTGGTTTAATCAACAATTACCCCTAGATTAAGGAATAGCTTAGTAACAATAACACATTAAAACATTTAAATGATCCCATCCCTTAAGATCTCAATGGAAAAATAACCGAAAACCTGGCCAAACAGATAAACATTGACATCAATCGGAAAAAATTAAAGGTCTTCCATGCTTACTTGAATTGTAAGTGTGAGAGACGATGCTTTGTGGTAGGTCTCAAGCCGACTACCAACCTTTTGCGCTGCGATCCAAAGATCACTGGTCTCATCAGTAGTGAGATCAACAAAGCGCTTCACTTCACGCCTTGGGCAGACAAGCACATGTACATGAAGTTAAGTCTATACCAAAGTAGAAGAATCGACCATATTAAGATTATAGTTCTACAACAAAATGGGTATAATTTGCACACATAATTACATGCAAAAGAGGACTAATCAAAATGTTGGGCGGGTATATAGGCACGCAAGTGCAACAATATAAATACACATGATGCTTGGTCATCCTTCAGCCAAATAAGCAGATGAGATAAGCACACATATAGGTCCACGGAAAACTAGATACAGAGCTGTGGAACAGGCTCTGCCCAAATAAGCCAGTCAATATCTTTTAACCAAAATGATGCACTTAGAAGCATGCCATTGAGTATTGCAACTAGCAGTCCACTATCGATTACATTTCAGTGCCAAGGAGAAACCATTTTGGACCCAAAACCAAGCCTGATAAAAAGACCCCTTTCTTTGAACTCATATCTTGAATTCACAAACATGATCCAATCAATCAAGAAGTTGGAACTCATATGTTGTCTTTTTTCAAGCAAGAAAAGGAACAAAAGAAATAAATTTCCCAACTTTTTTTCTTATACAATATTGCCTTGACTGATCAAAACAACACTATAATTCAGACCAAAGAAAAGGATATGACCTGCAAAGGCAAAAAGAGAAATGGATCATCAAGTGCCTAATTTTATATTTATTTTCATGTTTTAATATAGTGCAAGATAAAGATGAATACCAGGAACAACAGGACGCAAGTTGACCAGGGCATAGGATAGATGAGTAGAGTAAAACACTTCCCTGCTGTCAATCTTGTAAGGGCCGAACGTAAATTGCTCCAAAGCCATCTGTATCCATTTTGCAGCCAAACCCAAATCAAATTCAAAACACCAACACCAACAACACAACAAAAACAAGTCATAGTTGAAATTGGTCTTACCTTGGTGGAGGTGGCGAAGAAGGAAGGATCAGGGATGCCTCTGACTCTTGATGAACGTGTAATGAAACACCCAACAACACTGGAAGCCACAGTTGAGAGCAGCATTTGCGCTTGGAGTTGAGCTGATACTGATTCCTCTTTCTGGGTTTTGCTCCCTTGGGCCCTGTGTTTAATTTTCAGAACGTATGGGCCTCGATAAGCAGGTTCAAATCCAATGGGCTGGGCACGTGCTTCTCTCTTCTTTATACCACGTAGCCAGTTTAGTCTGGTTGTGGCTCGTCTGCAATGGGATTGCAAATGCAGTTGCTTTGCTTCCTCCATAGGCACATGGAGCATGACATTTCTAATATCTGCCCTGCCTTCCGTTGCCTCTTCTTCTTCATCTGGGTTAAGATTAAGAGCGTCCAAAGTGGCTGTGCTGCGCTCTTTTACTGGCCTTTCTCCTCCTAAACCCCTTCTCCGCACTATTGCTTCACCAGGTAATTTCTCAACCTCCCTTCCCTTCTACTCTTATTGATATGGAAAATGGGAAATGTTTGTTTTGGATTGTCTTTCTGTGAAGGTTCACCATAGTACCTTCATTTGGTTGTTCTTGCGGCTTTTGGGTTTTTTTATTACTTGCTTTTGCTGCTTCTTCAGTCCTCTAGTTGTTAAAACCCCGTTCCCTTAGCATCCTATCATTAGTTTTGATCTTTTGCTCTATTAACTTGTTAGTGGTTGCAGTATGTTCTGCTATTGATAGTGATATACAAAGTTTGCTTAATTTCTTCCTTTCTGGATAATTTTTGTTAAAGAACCAATGACAAAAGCTTGCACTTTATGAAATTGGCCAACAATGTGTGTCAAGTCAAGCCTATACAAAATGCAGACATAAATAGAACATTTTCCTACAGCCTAACTCTAAACCTTGCAATTAACAAATAAGTGGGGAATGGGATGGGAGGTTTCGAACCACACCTGCAACCAGAATTTTGAGCCAACATTGTATAGAAAGGCAACAATTCTTATCCACCTTTTGCCCTATTAGATTACTCATGAAATGCCAGCATCTGTATAACATTTATATGTGCTCAGTTTCAGCATTTTTGGTTCTTTCTCCTAGTTTTATGTGACGGTTTGATGGGACCTGTTTACAAGTGTTCCATTCTTCATCTTGATTTTTTTTTTCTACGTTGTTGGCACAGAATTTAGCAGCTTTGAGCATTGTTTTACTACTATTGACAATGGCAGTCGAGTTTTTGCCATGAGACATGGGAGGCGAGTCCCCAAACTCCCCCTGACCAACTCCGGGGCACTGCTGCAAGACCTCACAACTCAGCTTCTTAGACACGGTCATATCAAAACTACTAGAGCCAGGGCAATTGCAATGTGGAAGTACATTGATAAGATGATCACATTGGCAAAGGATGGGAACTCTTCATAAAAGGAGGGAAGCTCTCGGATTTGTCTACGAGAAGCAGATTGTGCATGGCTTGTTTGCAGAGGTCACAGACAGATATGGGGATAGGAATGGAGGGTATACAAGAATTATTAGAACTCTGCCAACAAGGCAAGGGGATAATGCGCCTATGGCCTACATTGAGCTTGTCTAGCTTTTGGCTGCAAACAGTCTCTCATGTATTGCCTTCCTCGGTGCAAATATAAGATGTCTAAAGCTTTTCATGCAAACAATCGCATAAATTGCTTTTTTGGATGCTTGCAGCTCTGTTCTATTTGTTGTGTCATCTTCAGATTTGTCTTTCTGCTCCACCTGGCATTTTTTTGCTGTAATTGGTGCTCTGCTTGATGCATTTTCTTCCCTCTTGTGGCCACGGATACACATAATCTGCTTGTTCTTTGTGTCAGAATTTGAAGAAATCACAATGCTTGAATATGACAAAATGGATGTCCTACTTGCACCATCTCAGCCAAAGAGAAAACACATAACATAATTGAATCTGCACACAGGGTAACACCCTTAACACAGCAGGTAGTTTTGTCGATCATGGCTCCAGCGTGCAATTACAAACCAGTCATGAACTTTTAGGTTGTCAAATTGTTGTTAACTGGTTGATAGGTACAGGCTTAAAACCATTATTGTAGGCGGGTTGCTTCTTTTTTTTATTTTTTTTTATTTGGCATAGTAAGCGGGTTGCTTGGGTTGGTTGGTAATGGAGCTTTATTGAAGGAGAAGAAAGTGTGAAACTACCGTTCTCATTTTTCGTTTGGCCTGAACTAACAAACAACCCTTTTTTGGTGAAATAGGGGGGAAACCCCAGAAAATAACTAAACACCGCTCATGAGTTCAGGCCTAGCAAGATCAAGCAAGTCATCCACCAACAGAGAGAGCTAACACATCCTTTTCATCTGTTCTTTGTTGTTAAGATTGATCTGAGAGTCTGAAGGCATATATTTATGGCTTAATTATGTACATGCCCCCTGTGCTTTCCAACTTATCTCAGATTACCACCTGTGTTTGAAAACGTCTCAAAGTACCCCCCAACGTGCAAAAAACCGTCTCACGTTACCCTTTCCGTCAGTTTTTTTGAAGTTCCGTTACGAACGTTACTGTTCATCTCCCCCAAAATTCCAGAACAGTAGCCCCTCCCCTTTGTTACTGTTCATCGCTTATTTACCCTCCAAAACTCAGAAATTTCTCCTAACCAACACAACTAGCAGCAAGAACAACTCGAGAGGTTGAAAAATCATACCTGGATCGAAGAAAATGGTGCTCGGAATCGCCCGAACGAGCAATGGAGATTTTGGGTAAAAAACCGGCCAATTTCTTGCTTTTTTCGGTGATCCAGACGACGGTTGGCAGCGGTTGAGATGTGAGGGTGGTAGAGGACAACGTGCTGGTTCTTTTGATATCCATGTCGTCGCTTGGGGTGGCCGGAGGAGGCGATGGCAGCCCAAAAACTGGTCAGATGAACAGTAACAAATGGGAGGAGCTGCTGTTCTGGAATTTTGGGGGAGATGAACAGTAACATTCGTAACGGAACTTCAAAAAAACTGACGGAAAGGGTAACGTGAGACGGTTTTTTGCACGTTGGGGGGTACTTTGAGACGTTTTCAAACACAGGTGGTAATCTGAGATAAGTTGGAAAGCACAGAGGGCATGTACATAATTAAGCCTATATTTATTGTTCTCGCAATCAAAACCAAGTGAATTAAGGGAAGCAAAATACAAGAGTAAGAGACAAGGATGCAATAAAAAGACAATCCAACTATAAAAATATGATGACAATTTTTTATTTTTTTTTCTCTTGATGGGAAAATTTTAAAAAGTTTGAATGTGACAGCAAGGCAACATAAAGTGAAAACACATAAAAAGCCAGGGGAAAAAATATAAATATAATATACATGTTTTTTGTATAATGAAAAGATAAATGTAGATAACACTAGATAAGGTTTTGGCTCTGTTTATTATATCGAAGGAGACACAGGGGAAGAAGAAGAGGAAGAACAAGGAGAAATGTCAGGCGTGGCAACTCTTGGTCAGGCATGCTGGGCTGCTGCCGGCGTAAAGGTGAAGAAGGCAAAGACCGCCATTTCCCAAGCCCAAATTCAAAACCCAAAACCCAAATCTTTAGCTCTTCCCTTGTCAGCTAATTGCAGCCGCAACCTCTTCTCCTTCAGCCCCAAAGCCATCACCAAATCCTCCTCCTCCTCATCCGTCCGTACATCTGTCGCCGCCGTAGACTCCGACCAGCTCAGCTCCTCCGATTCCGCCGAAAAGGTTCAGTCTTTCATATGAATTCAACTTTTAATTTAATGGGTTTTGATTTCTCATCCAAGAAGGCAAGAACCTGTTTTGAATTTTGGGTTTTCATCTTTTTTCTCAATGCAGCAAAAGGCGAGCAGGTACTATTTCGTTGTTGCGAATGCCAAGTTCATGCTGGACGAGGAGGAGCATTTCCAGGAGCAATTGTGTGAGCGGCTTCGCTACTATGGAGAGCGTAACAGAGAGCAGGACTTTTGGCTTGTGATCGAGCCCAAGTTCTTGGATAAGTTTCCCAACATCACTAAGAGATTAGGAAGACCTGCTGTGGCTCTGGTATCGACCAATGGACCTTGGATTACGTAAGCACCCGCCACCATTGTCTACTGAGCTTTGCTTGTTTTCAGTTTGGTGTTTTGTTTGCTTGCAACCTCTTGCACTTCATATGCAAGTTCATTTAGATAGCCATTGTTGCAAGCTAAACATATTTTGTTACTTTAATTGGTGATGTAGTAGAATCACTGGCTGAACCAAATCAATTGTGCAAGTAACTTTATTATAAGAAGTTGGCTTGATCTCTACCATAGAACTCATTGTTAGACAACCATTAGAATCCGAAAGCTTAATCTGTTAGAGGAACGGTATATCAAGCTGACAACGTGTTCGTGTAGAGCCCCATTCTACACGTGCGGAGGTAGACAAAGATAAGCATAAATGAGCAAATGGGGAATAGAGATTAGAGGTTTTGACCACAATGTTATCAAGCTAAGCCCCAATAGTTTAAGCTGTTAGAGAAATGGACTAACAATGTCATCAAGCTAACACCTTGACTTATGATAAGTATGACTTTGTACATGATTTAAGTCTATTGTTTCATAGTTAAATATGCTAGTATAGCTCAAGAAATTACAGAATATGATGTTGGTGATATAAGAAAAATCGTCATGTGGTTGTACATTAGTAGAAATATGTAAGTTGTGACTCTTACAAGGGATAATAATAATATCCCTCTTTATCATCCACACAAATCAACTGATAATGTTGTATGGCTGCAGGTTTATGAAGCTGAGACTGGACAGAGTGCTAGCAGAAAGTTTTGAAGCTGAGAGTCTAGAAGAGGCATTGGCCTCCACTCCAACCAATATTGAGTTTGAGAAACCGGAGAAATGGGTAGCACCTTATTCCAAGTACGAATCTGGGTGGTGGGGGCCCTTCTTGCCGCCAGGATCGAACGAGGAGGTCAAAGTGTAAATCACTTTTTTTTTCTTTTTTTTTTTGCCTTGCTCTTTCAATCGTATCAACATGGGTTTTGTCATCTATTACTAACTGGAGTGGAAGTTGATGCATGTAGCTAATGAGTAGTTTTGGGAGGTTAGCACCTCAGCTAATAAATTTTAGTGGTTGCTATGAATGCGTGTGAAGAGAGGTTCAAAATCATGTCCATAAAAACAGATATGTAACAGTTTAGATGAAGTTGTACCTGTCCAAAAAGGAGGAAGTAGCCTTGTTTAGAAGTTTGCATCAGAAACCAAAATTGGAACAATACATTCTCTCATATAACAAGGATGATGAATGATTACTTACTCCTCAAGGAAAACTAAACAAGGCTACTAGCAAAACAGATAGAAAGCAGCATTTATATTTTCCTTTCTACATCTTCATTTTACAGATTTGATCAGACAAATAAAATAAAATTAACTGACGGAACAAAACGAGCAAGAACGACATATGAACTGTACCGACTGTACGAAGAGGAAGGGTGCAGCAGAACCTCAAATAATTATTGTTGCTTCCTATTCTTGGAAGAAATTACACTCTTTTTGAGTTTTTGGATAACTTTTTCATCCAACACTGCGTACTGCTTGTTTATTGCAATTAGTGCTTTCTCTGCAAAGGAGTCAACGCTATCCTCCAGGTTGTCATACAGCGCTGGCACTATCATCAGTATCACAAACACTGCACAACCAAGAAGACAGATTCAGCACTCATCTCTGCTAACATACTAAGCAAACTAAAAATAAACCGTTGTTGACTCGACACTAAGTGGAAATCACCGGGGAAAAAACATAGCAAACAATATCAATTTTTGTAAAACAAAAAACTACAACAACGATGGTGGAGATCACCGGGGACTAAAACCAAGAGCAGCATGAGGAAACAAAAAAAGCTAGTCACCAATTGCCAATGCTCTATCCAACTTCCTAGCCATGAAAAAACTGGAGCTGATACCAACCTATGTAAAGGAAACTCAAGAAACTGCATAGATGTCCGACAACAGAGAGAACCCACAAAACCAGCGCCACCTGCAAATGAATTCATCATGTCAAAGTTGCAAGATTCAATCAATATTTACTATCCTTGCAGTATAAATAAAGCCTAAGTGGGGACGAAAAGGTCGGTACCGATAGGAAATCTCTTATGTCTGTCCCAAAAACTACATGCCGAAACGACCTTAATGCTTGATTATATGTAGCTGTCAAGGAAATAGCGGTCCTCATAAACAGATGTTGTGGTAAGATAGTCTCTGGTATTTCTGGTGGAGACCTGTTTCATCATATTCTATCCAGAAATCACAACACAGACGCATATGATGAAGGTACCAATTAAAAAAAACACCAATCGAAATGCAGTTTAAATAAAAGAAAATTAAGGAGCTCACACATAGATGAAGGAACCCAAATTGGACCACAAGAACAGGGCTGTCAATGAAAGCAATGAAGCATGGCAAACAAACACAACCAAGTTATAACCTGTCCTCTCAAAGAGAAGCCACGTAAGTGTAGCACCCATAAAAATGTAGGCTGAGATCTGCTTGTTTCTCCAGAGTATAATGTCAGCAGCTGAAAAGAGACAAATGGGATCATAAATAAATCACACTATGAGATTCACAGCAATCAGAAAAATTAAGAAAAACTACAATTACGTACATACACCGGCGCCGAGGACAACATGAAGAGGCTTCTGGCGGCCGAATAAGCGATTCTTACAAGTAAAAGACATGCAGTAATTATCAATGTCAGAGTCAGAAGAGTCTCCATTATCAAGTTGGTTGTTGAGAAAATCAGAATCAGCAATATCCATATCCACGGGATCCAGCATTTCTATGAACGTTCTAATGTTTCTATGTATCTATAATATAGCTACAAATTACAATTGCATCAATTACTCTTTTGACAACTTAACCTGCAATGCATGTGACCAACAAAACAGATTAAGAATTGCAACAATCCCATCAAACAACCTTCATTAACGCATTACTAGTTCATGCTTTCTTTCTCTCTCAAATCTGAATCCCAAACATAAATACGAGGAACAAGGAGGTTTTGTTCTTCTGGTTGGTGCCTGTTTAACTTCCGTCCACAACTCCTCTCGCCTGTCGCCACGTGTCTTTTCGGAACATGCTATTTCACCTGTGTCCTATAGTATTTTTAGACCATATTTAGGATCTACGTGCATAAATATGTCACACATTTGCTATATTTGATGTGATCTACAATGTCGTCCATCTAGCACTAATTGTGCATATTTCCATTCTTCTCCTAGGTTTGATATTCCATGTCAGCATATTTGAGCTTAAACCTACCTTTCAGAAAAACCATAAAAGTAGAGGTAGAAAAGAATTCGAAATCAGCAAACTATATTAATAATATTGTTTAAGATTTATACAAGCTAATTCTTGCTTAACTTTGAAGACCTTAATTTGTTCAATATCAAGCACAATGTAGACACCCTGTGTTCTTTGATGAAGGCCAAATAACACATTGCAAACACATATTGGAGATGTCCAATCCAACTAATGGTTCGCCTTAAATGGGAAAAAGGGAAGTACAAACTTGACATTATACAATACATTTATTATCATCACAATATGAGACGAAGCAATGTGAAAACATTCACCAATCCAAGGGAAAACATGTAGAAGTTTATATACAAATAACCTCTCTCTCTCTCTCTCTCTCTCCTCTCTCTCTCTCTCTCTCTCTCCCTCCTGTCTTGTTTCTCTTGAAAATCCCGATCCGATCCAAGGGGAAGCTCACAGCTTCCTCACTAGGAGATCAACTCCATGCTCTGGCTCCACAACCAATCTAAGGGCAGGTCCATGGTTATACTTGGGAGAAAGTGAGAAGGAGAAGTTGGAAACTATGAGGGCGATGAGAACCTTGAGCTCAACCATGGCTAAGTTCTGCCCAAGACACTCTTGGTCCAACCCCAAATGGCATGTACAAGTGGGGAAGCTTGCAAGCTCCTGTGATCCCATTTGCAAACCTATCTGGGTTGAATTTGTAGGCATCTGGGCCCCAGATTTCTGGATCAGTGTGCAGGGTCACTACTGTGGTCCAAACATTGACACCCTTTGGAACATTTATGTCCCCAAATTTCATATCCTTGAAAGCCTCCCTTGACACCACAGTAACTGGTGGATATAGCCGCAGTGTCTCATGAATCACCATTTTTAGCTGCACACATTCAACAATAGTCAAGTTTTTATGGTAATTGATAACTGATGTTACTTGCTACATATAAAAAGTACGTCTAAATATGGAAAATATTCTCTTGTCAGATTGTTTGACTACCTAAATATATTAGTTGAAAAAAAAAAAGCCTGTTCCCGTTGCATACACCTTCCATATGCCTCTCATCACACGACAAGAGATACTAGAGAGAGTATATGCAACCGTTTCATGTAACTTTTCGTGGTGGAGATGTAATCCGCCAGCATACACATGAATGTGATACAAATAGTTTTGGGTAGTGATTTCAACACTCTTAGTTTAACTTTTGCACTCATATCAAATTTTGATTACATATGGTACCTCATTCCAGGAACTCCAGTCAAAAAGATTTTCTTGGACATAGCCTCCTGGAGATTTCTTAGTTTCTTAAATATCTCTACCCCTTTGGAATAGTTGCTTCCAAAACAAGCTCTTGAGATAACATCGCCAGAGAAACTTCTCATGTGGTTGTCAATTTTTATGTCAGCAACTCCTCCCCCTGCTTCAATTCTATTGCTCCATGAATTTATCAGAGTAGTTGTTGACTCTGTAATTAAGTTTATCATTCCCTGCAGGATTTACCATATATAGTTGCAATCACAACAATTTTTGGTGTGCCAAATCAAATCTTTTCTATACACGACGTTCATTATTTATTAAACGAATTGTTGATATTGATTTGTATCAGTATAAAAACGTGATTATAGTGGCAAGCAAACTTATCAGTATTACCAATATGTTGTTGATACTTATTGTGTAACAATGTTAGTTTATGGGAGAAGAGGTTTAGGAAATAGTTGGTTTAGTGTTTAGGACAATAGCTTAACTTGGAATGAAAAACTTTTGAAAGAGTAACAAAGTAGTTTTATTTAAATGAAGTAGGAAAGGTACAAGGCTTGATTACTTGAGTTGGCTGACTACTTATTTATACATATGCTAACCAACTAACTAAATTGGCAATTTACTTGGACAAGTCGATTGCACAGTAACCGACTTATCTAAAGTCATTTTTAGCTGCAAGTTAGTCCTATAATTCTAATAGTTACAATTACAATAGATAATTATTAGGATGACTCTAGTAAGAGTCAACCAACTTTTACTTAGTAATTCTCTCAATTATTCTAGAATTTTATAGTTTTATCACACAAGTGTGCATTAATGTTTAACAAACAATATCAATCCAAAATCAGTGTTTCATTTGAAATATACATACCTTAACTTTCTTCATGTATAGTTTATGAGCAATGAATTTGCATTGGTGGACCCAAAGCTGACCTTTGGTCAAGGCAACTAGGGCCATCGCCCAGGGCCCAAGATTGAAGGGCGCCCAAAAAAAAAATATAGCCGATTATATAATATAAAACTAAAAAAAAACATTTTTTTTAATATATGTCAGGCATGGACAGCTTTCCAGCAAAAAAGAAAAGGCATAGAGGCTTTATTTTTTTGGTTTTTTTTGTAGCAACGGTCCATAAACTATACTCGAAGTTATATTTTGGTCACTCAACTCTAAAAATAGTTACAGAGGTCACTCAATTAGGTGTTGTGTTGCACCATTAGTCCCTACCGTTAGAGAGACTTGATGGTATGAATTAATGGTGCAACAGAACACTTAATTAAGTGACTTTTGTAATTATTTTTTGAAGTTGAGTGACCAAAATGTAACTCCGAGCATAATTGAAGGACCATTGCTACAAATAACCCTTATTTATTTATTTTTTGTTATTTCATTTTTATAAATATTTGGAAGGGTTAATTACTGTAGACGTCCTTGAACTTGACCCCCATTTGCAATTGGGTCCGTGAATTTTATTTTTTTTCGACAATTACATCCTTTAACTGGACAAACAATCGCAATTAGGTCCTGCCGTCCAAGTCTGTCAATTTGCCTGTCAAAATGAAGGGTAAAAGCGTCATTTTGAGTTCCAAGAGTCTCCTGGATAATCCCGCGTGTGAAGTTCAGTAGGAAACCAAATGTTAAAAAACAACAATAATAAAAAGGACATCAATTCCACTTTGTCTCTTAAACCAAAATTCGTTTTTTTTTTTCTCACTGAAAGTAATTTTCAATCAATATCTACCAAAAAGTCTCATCCTTTCTCACTTTTTCTACTTAAAACCCTCTTTAACAAACAAAGATCATAAAAAATGGGACAAAATGATTCAAAGGCGGTGAGGGGAGAGATAGACTTGGCCACCGACGACAACAACAGAGGGCAAAGCTTCGCACAAAGAAAAAGAATTATCACCGCCTCCATAGTCACCCAGCACAGTACACGCCCTCTGTATCCTATTCACCAACCCGATCAAGCTCTCCATCGTCATCATTCACCCCCATTCACCAGCACGCCCTATGTATCCTATTCACCAACCTGATCAAGCACCGCTGGGATTTCAATACACTGAATTTCAGTAGAAACCTCAATACCCATCTCTCTCACTGCTACCAAGACCTCTTCAGTCATACCCAAGTTGAAGATGAAAACCCAGATGCTATTTCTACACCAAAAGAAACAAAAAAAGAAAAAACTCAAATTCTTCTTCTCAACCACCAATTACCAGATTTCCTTTCTTCTTTCTTTTTATTTTTTTTTATTTTTTATTATTATTTTTTTTTTAAAATTAATAATGATCTTCCTTAGAAAATAAGGGCGAAAAAAAAAATTAAAAAAAGGAAAAAGGGTGAGCACTATTGAGATCCATATGGTAATTAGAGGCATAAAGGGGTGGATTGAATGATCATCACCACAAACCTCACCGAAGGTTGAGATCGAACAGCAAAGGAGAGACTCCAAAACGACGACGTCATGATGCAATCATCGCCGTCGTCAACAACGGAGGACGAGGAGTCGCAGTCACTGTGGCAGTCATCGGGTGGCCAGGGTGCACGGGTTTCCGCTGTCGCTGAGCATGGGAGATGGGTACAGGGAAGGGGAGGTTGGGATGGGGGTTGGGGAAGATGAGATCGGGGTGCCTTTTTCTAGGTTTGGTGCGACTGTTCTTGTTCTAGGTTTTGTTTTTTTTTTCTTTTATATTTGTTCTTGTTATTATTTTTTTAGTTTTAAATTTACCTTTTCTCCAGCGCAGTAAATAATTCTGGAAGAAGGAGCAGTTCATCCATGCTAACTGAAAAGATGCTTTTACCCTTAATTTTGACGGATAAATTGACAGATGTGGACGACATGGCCTAATTGCAACTGTTTATTGAGTTAACAGATGTAATTGCCCCAAAAAAAAGTTCACGGACTCAATTACAAATGGGAGCCAAGTTCAGGAACGTCTACAGTAATTAATCCATATTTGGAATGAATTTCTAAGTTTACCCATAGATTTAACGGAAAAATAGACAAACTTGACAAAAGGGACTAGTAATGCAACACCAACATTATACATAATTGGGGGATCTCTACAACTATTTTTAGGGTTGAGTGACCAAAATGTAACTACAGGTATAATTCAAGGACCATTGCTACAAAAAAGGCTATTTTTTTAATTCTTTCTTAAGAAGCCCAATAAACATGCGTGGTGAGTATGTCTGCCAGGATATGTTTATTTTATTTTTGTTCAGAAGTCTGCTAAACATTTATAAAGGAAGAACAATCTTGAAAATAAACCAAACAGAGCAGAACCCATCGGCAGCAGTGAAACTGTAGCAGTGGGTGGGATTGTCCTGAAAATAAACCAAACAGACTCTCGAAAGTATTTTTTAGTGATTCTCTGAGAGAGAGTGTGGGACTGGGATTTTCAGTTGAAAAACTGATTCTTAGTGAAACTGTATCAGCTACCCATGGGCATCAGCAACTAACTTCAGGTTTTATTGTTCCTTCATTTAATTAGTTCTACTTTTATTGCTAATTTAATTTGCTATTGCTTTCTTTGTTTTGTGTTTATGATACAAATTTAAACACGTTTACAAAACAACTTTCTGAAAATCTCAAGAGACAAAGAAAGAAAAAAGAGGAAGAGATTGATCAAAGTTTAAGAGGATCTTTGAATAAATATTTTAGTAAACAAACTGATAGTTCACTTGAAAATGTAGCAGAGGATTTACCACCAAATGAAAATGAGAATGACACAAATGAATGTGAGAATGCAAACGATTTGAACATTTTATATCCTAAAGTTTGGGATAATCTTGATGAAAAAATGAGAGATTTACTTTTAAAAAAAGGTAATGTAAGAGAAACTATTTTCAAATTCCCTTTGATGAACACTTTTGGATTTTTATATGATGCTGCAAAGTTGACTTGATTAGATGATAATGAATTGAAAATTTCTTGTGTGAATCTAGAAAATGTTTTAAACAATGACCATGTTTCGGATGTGGATGCAAGTGATTTACTTTTAGAATTGTAGGTGTTGCAAGTGATGTTACCAAGAGAAGCATATGAAACAAATAAACCTTGGACATCCATTAAAACTCTTATAAACTCTTATAATCTGAATAAAATTAATTATTTGAAGAAAAAAAAATTATGTATAAAAGGCCCACTCTTAGAGTTTTGCCTTGGGCCTTCAATCACTCAGGGCCGGCCCTGGGTGGGCCCATAAGATGCCATTCGAGGTCAAAATACCTTGACCAAGCTAAGGGCCACACTCTTTATATTGATAAGTAGGTTTTCCCAAGTCCAAAGACGTGAATGTTGTAATCTCTCTCACAGCGTTTGGTTGGTTTGCATATAATATGCTAATAATATTATTGCAAAATATTCAGAAAAACAAATCAGGAACTAATTGGTGATATCATTCACTTTCAATAAACCATACAAGGAGTGAAAATGATGAAATATTAAAGATGCATTATTAGAACAAGTAACTTTATATACTATAGGCTTAAACAAGTGAACAAACTTGTAAACTACAGACAGCCAGGAAGCTAACCCTTACTTACTCTGTTTTGTTACAAGAAAGTTTATAGTTAAAAAAGATCCAATCTAATAAAACAGCTCACAGCTTCGTCACTAGGAGATCAACTCCATGCTCTGGCTCCACAACCAATCTAAGAGCAGGTCCATATTTGTACTTGGGAGAAAGTGAGAAAGAGAAGTTGGAGACTATGAGGGCTAGGAGAACCTTGAGCTCAACCATGGCCAAGTTCTGTCCAAGACACACTCTTGGTCCAACCCCAAATGGCATGTACAAGTGGGGAAGCTTGCAAGCACCTGTGATCCCATTTGCAAACCTATCTGGGTTGAATTCGTAGGCATCTGGGCCCCATATTTCTGGATCAGTGTGCAGTGTCACTACTGTGGTCCAAACATTGAAACCCTTTGGAACATTTATGTCCCCAAATTTCATATCCTTGAAAGCCTCCCTTGACACCACAGTAACTGGTGGATATAGCCGCAGCGATTCTTGAATCACCATTGTTAGCTGCACGCATTCAACAATAGTCAAGTTTTAATATTAACTGATATTTTCTACCTATGGAAGTACGTCTAAAAATGTAAAATATTCACCATTGTCAGACTGTTTGGCAGACTAAATATATCATGTTGTTAGATTTTAAATTAATAAGAGAGAAGATTCTCTTGTCAGATTGTTTGACAACCTAAACTTATTATGTTGCTAGACAGTAAGTTGCTCTATATTCGTAATTGATATATTTGACAAAAGAATATTACTAGTCCAGATGTATGACATTTGGACTCCGAGTTTATAACATAAATCACGTAATCTTCCACATATTTGTTGTGAATTGGCTCACCATTGGATGTTGTGATGAAGTTCGAGAGTGAAAACATGAAGGAAGATGAGAAGTGTTTTAACGGTGTCTTTTGACAGACACTTCTTGTTTTCTGTCATGTTTTCCCTCCCGACACCTAAAGACGATGCCAATTCACAACAATATATAGACGGATAGTTACTCTTATATCTTAAATTCTTCAATGGTGTAAAAATGTATACCTGTTTCATCTTGCGAACCATTTCGTTATCAGGAATTTGGCCTTGGCAAATTTGAAGGACCTCTGCCCTGACACGTTCTTGCCAATTTTGGTTTGAACCCAACAACATGAGGCACCAAGTGGCTGAAACCGCTGTGGTTTCATAGCCGGCCAAGTAAATGTTCTTGCAATTATCAACAATGAAGCGGTCTGTTGCTTCTGGGCTGAGATCAGTGTTTCGAGCACCCTCAAGAATCATTTGCAAGAGGTCTTTCTCATATCCTGCTGCTTGTCTTTCCTTGACTACTTGCAGGATCAAAGTGCTAGCCTCCTTTTCTAATGCCCAAGCTTCCCTGTTGCTCTTCGTGGGAAGGTGTCTGCAACAATATATTATAGCAATTAACTATAAGATTGTGGGGAGCTATATGTACCACATTTATTGACCATATATTTCACAGTACCTATAGGCGAAACTACCTTTCAAGTGGAAAATGAGAAAGAAAAAAATTCGTCGTTTGCATTGCATACACTTTCTCTATTAGAGTGCCAAAGTCTCTACCCTAATTTTCTCCAATTTTAGTTGTTTGGTCATGAATTTATGTAAGAAAACCTTAAGCCCCAATTGTGAGTATAAGGTACCTCATTCCAGGAACTCCAGTCAAAAAGATTTTCTTGGACATAGCCTCCTGGAGATTTCTTAGTTTCTGAAATATCTCTTCCCCCTTGGAGTAGTTGCTTCCAAAACAAGCTCTTGAGATTACATCACCAGAGAAACTTCTTATGTAGCTGTCAATTTTTATGTCGGCAACTCCTCCCTCTGCCTCAATCCTACTGTTCCATGAATTTATCAGAGTAGCTGTTGACTCTGTAATTAAGTTGATCATTCCCTGCAAGATTTACCATAGTTGCAATCACAACAATTCTTGGCAGCATTTGCTATGAATTATATAGTAATATACAAATCAATCTTCTCTAAACATGACGTCCATTGTTTATTCAAAAACGGTTGTCAATATGATATCAAGATGTGAATATCATTATTCATAATCTGTCAATATTAAAACATACTATCCACAATATCAATACAAAATTCATACCTTAACTTTCTCCATGTATAGTTCGGGAGCAATGACTTTGCGCTGGTGGGCCCATGAGGCGCCATTTGAGGTCAAAATACCTTGACCAAGCAAAGGGCCACGCTCTTTATATTGATAAGTAGGCTTCCCCAAGTCTAAGGACGTGCATGTTGTAATCTCCCTCACTGCGTCTGGTTGGTTCGCATATAATATCTGTGTGTTGCCAAGTGCAAACACAAACACTTCACCTGCAGATAACGTAATTATTTAGTACAAACAATAAATAAATTAAGACTCACTGAAAATACTAGCATTTTTTTTATACAAATTTATAAATAAACCCAATTCTAGACATGTATTTATAAAAAAACCCAAGCACTATTTAAATATAGAAACACACCCAAAATCAACCCCAAAATTAACAATTGTATATTTTTTGGGTGTGTTTATAAATGGGTTTTGAGTGTGTGTAATGATGGGTTTTGGGTGTGTTTATAAAGTGTTTTGGGTGTTGGGTTTTTTTATAATTTCAGCCCCTATTTTGGATGTTTTAGTGAAACTCCCTTTTTTTTATGAGTTTTCTTAGTCATTTTTTTATTATGAATTTTCTATGGCCCAACGCTGCCTCCACTCTGTTAGTCTCCCTCACAACAACCCACTCTGTTTTTCTCTCTCCCTCCTGAACTCTCTCTGGTTCTATCTGCTTTATTCTCTCCCAAACTTTCTCTGATTCCCTCTCATTTTCTATCTCCCCCCTGATCTCTGTCTTATTCCCCTTTGAAGTCACAGATCCCCTTCGAAGTCACAAATCTCCATTTGGTTCCACTGAGCCATGGTCGGTGGTGGAT